CGCAGGATCGGTGCCGCGGGGCAAGTACCGTCCACAGACTGTTGCCAGCGACCCGAGCCAGCTCAAACAGTCGCGGGCCAGCCGCGTGCTGCGGCCCAGCGTCGTGTCAGGAGAGGAGCGCTCGACGGGACGGACGGCCGCCGCCCGACACAGGGACGCGGGAATGCGGTGAGTACCGCTGGGGAGCCGGTCAAAGATCTGGCTCATCGGAAAGTAGGGATATGGGAATCTACTTTAATCAATCTCATCATGAGAATAATCACTGGAACGGGGAGGACGTTTATCAAAATAATGTCGTTAACTCGGGTATTTCTGATTTTGCCTTTATTTTCCATACACAATAGTAAATTAAACACTGGCAATGCGGATCGGACCGCATGATAAATGCTTGCCGAAAGACACTGATACACTGTCAGCGAGAACCGATGTCCACCCGTCGCGCGGCAGCTCACCACCGGGCCGGGGGTCGGTGTCCGCCGGTGGAGGAGCACGGCTCCACGGCAGCTACCAACTGCGAGTAGAGCCTCCAGAGCACTGCGTCCCAGCGGCACACGGTGCCGCCGCCCCTGTCGCTCTGTGTCGACATCCTGTTCACATCTCCGACACATACCCACGGCTGTGTCGAGTCATCGGAGACGGCCCACTTGCTGTGGTCCTTGGTGGTGCCGAACTCGAACGGCAGCGGCCCGCCGGCGGCCGTGGCCGTGATGTTTTGCACGTTCAGCACCGGCTCGACGGCCGAGCAGTTGGACGGCAGCTGCGTCTCGGTGGCGCCGTTCCGCCAGGTCTCCGCGAACAGGCCGGTGGTCAGGGTAGGAGCCACCAGGCCGCTGTATAGGTCGTCGCCGAAGTCACGCGCTTTGGCGTAGCTGGTGAACGTGGCGTCGCCCGAGGGGAGAGTTTCCACGCCGAACCAGGGCGGCTCGGAGCGCCGCTCGCCGGCAATCACCCGCGCCATCAGAGGATACTGCGCCTCCAGAGCGGGCGCCAGCTGCGTGGCGTACAGGTAGGGCTCGTTGAAGAGCAGCTGCTGTGCCACCGTCTCCAGCTGGTCGGACGAGAGCGTCACGCACAGGAAGCTCTGGCCGTACGTTTGTCCATTCCCCGGGTAACTGTACTGCTCACCGGGCGGCGGAGGAAACTTGGGCACACTGTGGATCAGCCAGAAACCCTGGTCGCCGTCAAATGCCACCACACCCTTGGTGTGGCCCTTGACGCCAGTGGTGGAGTTGTCAGGATGCTCGTCATTGTAGAAAACGTAGATAAGCGTATCCCTCTGCGGGTTATCGTAGACGTCTGCCAGCGTGCGGCCCGGCGCCGACAGGGGGTCGTCGATGGACACCTCGGACAGCGTCCATCTCTCGTCCGTCGACGCCGACGAAAAGTGCAGGAATCCGACGCCGTCACTGACGAACGGCGCCCCGGTGTCGTGTATGACGGGCAGCTTGTAGAGGACGTACCAGTCGACGGCGGCTCCGCTCTGGTCCCGACAGCCGAGCGGGGAGCCGGCGGCCGGCGCGGCCACCAGGAGAGTCGCCAGCAGCACCGGCACCGACGGACACATGACGACCACTGGCGCGCAGGTCATACCCCCGGATCGGGCCAGTCGGGTCACATTGGCCGGTCCGGCTGGCGGAGATCCGTGGGAATGAGTGTGAAAAAGACAGGTGTTGAATCGGCGGTGTCGCTGCGCCGAGTGAACGGTTTTGCGCTGTGCGCCTTATGAACCGTTCAAACAGTGCTAAACATCTACCGTTCTATCTGACAAAGGCGTGCGAACACGATTTACTTAATTGGGTTTTGCTGAAATCACTTGAATAGGCATATGCGTAATGCGACCCTCGGTATCATAGCGATTGCTAGCTCAAGTACCTAACTGTTCGAACCGTTCGAAGTTTTGTTATACATTGTTGACCGATCTTGCTGGCAAAGTTAACTGCTAATAAATGGTTCATTGTTATGAAAGAAACAATTCGAGTTGTATATGTAAAGCGCATATTGATAGATATATAAGCGCATATCAATTGTCAAATCCGTCGCAGACATGGTTCATCACCGGCAGAGGAGTCCAGCGGCATGTATTTTTGCTAGCCGTATGCCTATCACTGGGGAGCAGCTACGGACATTTGACAGTAACAGCTCCACCCGGCCTCGGTGGAATTTTGGCCTGGCTCCGCAGAGAAGGATGTATGTCCAGCTGTGCCCGATTGGAGATGTTTCATTTTCCATTTCGTTCATGGCCTTGATTTTGCGGCAGTCTATGAACAGTGTAAACTGTGTGCTGTTGCAGCGTTCGACCGACTACTGCGACCCCCGTGCACCCAGACTCTTATCGCCCGATGCCCCGGACGTGGCGCCCCTGGCACGCCAGCGAGGGGAGCAGGGGGGGGGGGGGCTACTCTCGGACGTCCGTCCGGTGCCTTTGTCCGCGGCGCCGTACCCCGGCCGGCAGCTGCCGCTACTGGGGAGGGAGGGGAGTGCGCGGCTGGACGGGGCGATCACGCGCGCGCCGCTCCAGTACCCCGGCGCGCCAGTGGTCGTCATGTGTCCGTCGGTGCCGGTGCTGCTGGCGACTCTCCTGGTGGCCGCGCCGGCCGCAGGCTCCCCGCTCGGCTGTCGGGACCAGAACGGAGCCGCCGTCGACTGGTACGTCCTCTACAAGCTGCCCGTCATCCACGACACCGGGGCGCCGTTTGTCGATGACGGCGTCGGATTCCTGCACTTCTCCTCGGCGTCGACGGGCGAGCGGTGGACGCTGTCGGACGTACCCATAAACGACTCCCTGTCAGCAGCCGGGCGGACGCTGGAGCCGCTCTATCAGCACACCGTGAACAAGAGCTTCATCTATGCCTTCTACAACGACGAGCACCCGGACGGGCCAACCAGCTTCACAAAGGGCCACACCAAGGGCGTGGTGGCGTTTGACGGTGACCAGGGTTTCTGGCTGGTGCACAGTGTGCCGCACTTTCCACCGCCGCCGGGTCAGCGCTATGGCTACCCGCACACGGGCCACCACTTCGGGCAGAGCTTCCTCTGCGTGACGCTGTCGTCCGACCAGCTGGAGACGGTGGCGCGGCAGCTGCTCTTCAACGAGCCCTACCTGTACGCCACGCAGCTGGCGCCCGTTCTGAAGGCGCGCTACCCGCTGATGGCGAGGGTTGTGTCAGGGAAGAGGCGCTCCCGATCGCCCTGGTTCAGCGTGCGCCCGCTCACCACTGCCGCCAATCTGTCCCTAGCCACCTTCGCCAAGGCGCGTCAGTTTGGCAAGGACCTGTACGCGGACCTAGTGGCACCGGCGACCCGTGCGGACCTCCTCACCGAGACCTGGATGAACGGACCGCACGCCGACCTGATGAAGTCCAACTGTTCGCTCGCCTACCACGTACAGAACGTGCGGGATATCTCGGTGACGGCGGAGCGCGCCGCGCCGACCGTCGGCAGGACCACCATCACGTTCAAGAGCTCCGAGGACCACAGCAAGTGGGCCGTCTCCGAGGACGCGTCTCGGCCCTGGGTGTGTGTGGGAGACATCAATAGGATGCTGACACAGGAGGAGCGGGGCGGTGGCACCGTGTGCCGCTGGGACGCAGTGCTGTGGAGGCTCTACTCGCAGTTGGTGGCCGCCGTGGAGCCTTGTCCCGGCAAACAGCCCGTCAACGTATACCGCCGACGGCCGTAGGGACTGCGGTCACCGGTCATGTCCATGTAATGGGGGAGGGTGGGTCCGGACATCAACGAAACCGGTTGGAGCGATGGTGAGCCATGCCCACTATCAGAAACGGTCAAATAGGATAGCCCACTTTGCTTGTGCAACTGCAAATGTTTGGGCTGGTATGCCTGTGGTTCCGGCTTTCATTCAAGATCGTTTAGTAGCTTCAGCGTAGCATATACGCTCTAAGATGTGTTCCAATAACGCCTCATCAGTGGTTGAGTCAAAAGATTGACTCTCACTTTGTCGTGCTTGTGTGTGGTATGCTGAGTGAACGGCGTCGTCTACAACTGATCGTTCTGCTCGTTCGACAACTGATGATCACGTTTTGCACCGCTATGATGCTCATTTAATACATTTCCTGTCGTTTTTTTTTTTTGGTTGTTGTTAGCACCGTAATGTCTACGTCGTTGACTTTGACTTTGAGCTTTGTGGCTCCGCTCCGTGATTCGAGTCTTCCTCACGTCAAAGAAGTTGAACCGGATTGCTAAGACGCCTTTCATGTGGCTAGGCGGGCGTTTTATGCCTTCCTTCGGTTTATCGTGATCAGCTTGAATCAATTGAACCTTTGCCCTGTCCTCTATTCGTCAGGTGAAGCCGTATGGACCTCTGGGCGGCCGTGATGGAGGCAGCTCCCTCTGCGTCTGACACCAGGGCGGCGCCACTGTCGGCGCAGGACAGTCGCCGGCCGCGGCGAGCAGCTGGGTGACGGGCCAGGCGAGCTCGGGTTTTAGACTGCTGTATAGTGAGAAGCGGATGGGTTGGGGTGGATGGGTGGGGAATAAGAACTGAGCGTTGATGAGGGGTGGGAGTGAAGGGAGGGCAGTGATGGTGCGACGACGGATCCCAGTCAAGAGGTGTCAGTAGGGAGTTGGTGAACGTTTCTGCAAAGGATTGGAATGATGGAAAGTCGTGGCTCGGAAACAACTCATAAAGAAGAAACCAACCTTGCATAAATGACTGATTCGGAATTAAATTTCTGATGTTATCAGCATGCACTGTTATACATTGAAACGGTAAACGCATCACGCCAATTCGATCAACATCCACACAGGGTCACTGTTTCAACTTTGACGCCTCGTCATATATCTAGTCATTTACGATGTCAGTTTGCAGTTTCTCCGACAAAACAAAACATGCCTTTGCAGCCTGCCTTCGAAACCTCGCCATCGTCAGTAAATAATGTCCGAAATTGACATGTGTTAAAACTTAGGTTGGGACGTGCATTCAAGACGCGTGGCACGTCTGTTCTCAGTGCTAGGGACAAACTGTAGTAGCAAATGACACCAGATCAAAATAAACAGCTGTTTTATTTACGTGTTGGCACACCCATCCACACAGTAGCGGCTGAACATACCAGCCGTGAGCTGAATTCGGCTCACTCAGTACTCGGTACGTATTCGGAGGGACATTTGGAAGCTCACAAACGCCACTTCACCACATAAGCTTATTGCATGGTCACAGTCTCACCATTTTGGGCCCACGTTTCATTAGCGATTTCCGGTCTGTAAGCACCCACATTAAAAAAATAGTTGTCTGCTTTTAGGGAAGAAATGATAGTCTTGCCACCTCAAAGTGAATATAAAATAGTATTTGTATGCTAATAACACAAGCCTTCAGTAACAGCATACTTTCTTGTCTGGAAACACGAGCTGAAAACACACCATCTAGCAACATCGTCTGTAAATGATGCGAGACGGTTGGCTGGCCGACCCAGCCCGAACCGACCTAAGACGAGGCTGGCGTGAGATAACGGCTGACCTGCTCCGTGTCTTACCGAAGACTGCTCGGGTCTGGATCCGACCTGACCTCATTACTCGTAGATGGCGCCCCTCCTGGCCGAAGGAGGGCATCACGCTCCGTCGGGGAAAACCTTGTAGGGATTCATTATGCCGTGAGGATCCAGCAGCTGCTTCATCTGACGCATCAGCTTCACCTCCACCGGGTCCTTGCAGTGGGCGCCCAGGTTCCTGCCAGGACCGAGGAACCGATCACTTGTCAGTGAATGAGTGTTTTTAGTACGTCGTTTGTCTTTGGTGAAGTTATAAAGGCACCCTGGTTTTCGGCAGTAAATGGTGTTACGACGCGAATCCCAAATTGACTGCCGAGAAAATATGGTCCCGAACTTAGCCAAAAAATGCATTGATGCGCGTGATTAAATATGATCAACCGTTTAAAAAAGTTCAGTCTCCAACAAAATTTCGAGGTTCAAGCCGCAGTGATGAACTCATAGCTGTTTTCTGAAGAAAATAGTAAGTACAATCCACTACCACAATACCAAGCACGTTCGCACTCACTGACTGTTGAGACACTCTACCCGCCTGACCTCACTGGCTGTTCACTGTCTGAGCCTGTCACTGACCTGTTGGCTCACTCCCCCTGACCTCACCCGCTTCCACTGACCTGCTAGGTCACTTCCACTAACCTCACCGACTAGTGCTCACTGTCTGAGACCGTCACTGACCTGTTCCGGAAGCCGCAGCCGAGCTCTGCCGACACGGCTCCTCCCGCCCGGGTCACGTAGTCGGTGATGGTGCGGTCCAGCTCGTCGCTCGTCTCCGGGTCAAAGTTGTGCGACTGCAGCGCCAGGTGCAGGTTGCTGTCCAACAGGTGGCCGAAACTCGCCACCTGGCCGACACGAGGGCCGATCGGTCATTGGGAGGTCAAGGAGTGGGTGGGTAGTGAACGGGGTATAGATGAAGATCGTGGTACCTACATATATACTTGTTTGAATCAGAACGTCTGTTTTTATCGGCTCTAGAATTACGTGTTTTATACGAAAATTAATTGAAAAACAACGCATAATATGTGTTACAATTTAACTGATATAAAATGCGTTTGTATTATTGGGCTAGCGATTTCAGCCAGCAGTCGTTACCTTGAGGATTTCTCCGCTGAGTTCCTTGCGTAGCTTCTCGACGAGCTTGTACTGCTTGTCGTGCGGCAGCGACACGTCGTAGTGGTAGACGTTGCCGCCTCGGGAGAGCGCCGCCAGAATCCGTGTGTTGATGTTCCACAACCGCTGCAGACGTGGAGAGGGTCAGAAGTTAGAACTACGACGGAAACTGCAGAGGACTCTCGTGGGGGACGGGAGGGAGGCAACAAGTGCAACAGTCTCTAGAGAGTAAGAGTGTAGACTCTAGAGTCTAAACTCTCGAGTGTAGAGTGTAGAGAGTTTCTATGTGTCAGGTGACAACAACTTTTCTATAAATGTCATCGATAATTTAATAAAAAAAATGGCCCTTACAATGTGCGGTAACAATGCACATAAACGTCACGCGATAAAGATGCACAACTTATGGTCATACAGGTATAATTCGTATGACATCTTACGTCAACATCCGAAGATAAAAGCATGCAAAATGCGACAAGCGTCACCAGCATCCACCTCCCTCCTAGCTTAGCACTCTCACGCACGGCCGCCCTCCCCCTCCCCAGTTGACCGACCTCGACGAAGGTGGGGTCGTCGTAGTTGAGGGGTCCGATCTGGCCGTCCAGGATGAGCTCCTTGTCCTTGAGCGCGTTGAAGAGGGTCTTCAGTTTCTCCTCGTCGTGCATATCGCACTGCCCGGCCGTCTCGATGAGCACGTAGAACGGCTTACTGGGCACGCCCCAGGCGCTCAGGTACTTCTTCTTGACAGACATCACCGCCTCCTGTGGAAGGGGAAGGGTGGTTATCGGTGTTACCGGTGGGAGTGGATACGACGCTGGTAGTAGAGGAAATATAAATTAGGAGATCGTGTCGATTTGACGCGTATGTAGTGTGCATTTCCGTAAATGCGACTCACAAAACATCGACATTTTGCCTCGGAGTACCAAAGAAAAAGGAAATCGAACTGTTTGCCTACGTAAACATATATCTGACTGATACGAAGAAGCTTATGTACACATGACACAAATCATGTGACTCGTTTACCGCTCTCGAAGTAACAGCTATGCTGATAACGAGTCGTTTAAACGATATCCACTGACCCACAAACAAAGCTCCACAAAAAGTAGGATTCCTCCAAACTGAGTGCTCTCGACACAAAGTGAGCGGCGTCGGCGACTCACGTTGTCCATAAACTCGCAGGCTGAGGTCAGCTCGCCGAGGTGCTCCTTGGTCATCCGCATGATGCCGAGCACCTTGTGAAAGCTGTCCGTGTACACCATGGCCACGTTGATGTGCTTGGGCAGCGACGGACACGCCATGGCCACCTGTGGGTACGACAGGGGTGTGTGATGGTCAGGATGGGGGAGCTGTGGGGTAACGGGGACCGAACTCATTGCCCTACAGCAGTTGGCATCCCGGCTCAAACCAGGTGGCATGCTGCAGGATTCAGTCCTCTATCTGACTAATGTAAAACAAATATTGATTGAAGCATTTAAAATCGCATCGTATGAGAGACCAAACGCATTATAAATATCCCCAGAGAAGTGTACGCAATAACAACATACTAGGAGAGCACAGCCAGTTGAACAGATGCTGAGCAACCCGAGCCGCGGGCGGCACTACAATGTACCCACCTTTGTGATGATGCCCAGACTTCCTTCTGAGCCGACGAAGATCTGCTTCAGGTCGAATCCGGTATTGTCCTTGCGCATGGTGGACATCGAGTCCAGAACGGTGCCGTCGGGAAGGACCTGCGAATAAACCGTGCCGTTTATACGAGAAACGATTGAAGCAAGCACGTGTAAGAGAACAGCAAGTTATAAAATGGTACAAAACAGGAAGCATGTAAATCCCTCAAAATACCTCTCATGCCACATCGCATCGCCCATCACACAAGCACCTTGTCACACGATTGAGACTTCTCAAGTATCTTCGTCACCCTTCCCATCTCCTGCAGATAAATCAACGCACAAACGTCTTCTCTTCATTGCAACACACTGCAACACCCCCCACTCCTGACACTCAACTCTCTCCTCAAACTCCCCCACTCGTCACTCACCACCTCCAGTCCGAGTACGTTGCCGTGCAGGTTGCCGTAGCGGGCCGTGCGCGGTCCGGCCATGTCGGCCGCCACGATACCGCCCAGCTGCGCCTCCCGGATCGTGTAGTCCACCGGGAAGAACAGGTGCTGGTTCTTGGCGGCGTGCTCGAGATGGTCCAGCGAGCAGCCGGCCCCGCAGGTCAGGGTGCCTGAGGGAAACGGGGTAGTGATAGAAACAGCCGGCCCCGCAGGTCAGGGTGCCTGAGGGAAACGGGGTAGTGATAGAAACAGCCGGCCCCGCAGGTCAGGGTGCCTGAGGGAAACGGGGTAGTGATAGAAACAGCCGGCCCCGCAGGTCAGGGTGCCTGGGGCAGTGGGATGTAGGGGCTGATCAAACTTGTCGCTATGTCCATGGGCTCAACAATCATTGAGCACACATCTCTATTTGCTCGTGGCCCAATCAACACACAACACCGTCATTGACATACATTACCATGTCAAGCCCGACAAGCGATTTTTAAATCCCTTGAAACACCACTGTACAATCCTGAATGAGGCCTCAGCCTGGGGCGTGACGTCCTCATCGCTCCCGTCGGTCCCTCAACACACATCCCTCTTTCTACTGACCTCCATCGGTGTCGACCTCGATGACCTCGTTCATTTTTGCGGTGCTGACGATGATCTCGTCGAAGACGGGCACGCTGCCGCCGACCAATGAGGTGCTGGCGCCCTGGGGACAGACGGCCAGCCGCCGGTCCGAGCAGTACTTGAGGACGGCAGACACCTCGGCCGTGGTCTTCGGGAACACGACACATGGTGAGCAGCCTGTGGGGAGGAGGAGGGTGATGGTTACTGATCTGTGAGAGTGAAGAGATGGGGACATTCAGGCGGACTACTCAGCAAAGCTCTGCTGTTTACCATTGAGCTACCCAACGGCATTGGTAGTTATTTACCTACCGTCAACAATTTGGCTTACAACGGCAACCTACTGCTTATCAGGCCGATTGGACACTGATATATGCCGTTTAACACTGACTGACCTCTGCTTACCGCGTTTGTCATTTAATCTGCAGCCTTTTGTCTTTTGTGCAACGACAATGTTCTCCACATACGTACCATATTGCCACTGTCGTCTCCGTGTCCCTGTCCACAGGACCAGCCGGCAGTCATCCTCTCTACATCTCCCGCTCACCGTCTCGGAAGCCGGCACTCGCACCCTCCGCCCGTCTCACCTCTGAGCGACCGCAGCCAGTCGGTGTTGTGCATCAGCAGGTCATCCTTGTCGGTCTCGACGCGGCCTTCGACGAGCGCCGCCAGCTGCTGGATGTCGTCAGAGGTGACCTCCGCGTACGGGCCGCGCTTCACGCCGAACAGCTCCTTGGTGAAGGGCACGGTGGCCGGCGCCCGGGTCGACTCGGAAAACGAGTAGAGGGGCCGCACCTGGCCCCGCGGTCGGGCCAGACAGCTGAGCAGCTGCCGCGTCAGACCACCGCGCATCGCTGCTGCTGCTGCTGCTGCTGCTGGCTGTGGTGGCAGTGGTTGTAGTCAGCTGGAAAGAGCGACAAACAGGTCAGGTACGGGGATCTAAAGGGGTGGGAAGGGATAATTTGGTGTCCGTACTGGATTAGGTGCCACTCGCAATTCCTTGTATCGGACAGTCAATGTGTTGCATGGCTGTGGATCTCAATCTAGGAGATGGACAGACGTTCACGGATACTTGTGTAAGCACAATTAATGGATGTAATTGTAGGGGTAATTAGGTACATTGTTATTCGGAGTACCTACGTATTCCAAGTTATGGGGTCTAAGTGACATTTCAAATTAAGCTCCTTAGCCTTCATGTATCTTTCCGTTTGTTTACGATATCGCTAAATGGCCCTTTTTGTGGTAACGACCGGCCTACTCAGCTGACCGAGCCGAAGTCACCGTGGCCGGCGGCCATCGGCTCTACGACGGAAATCGAGGCGTCTATTTATCCCGAGTTGCATCACCACGAGGCCCGCCGGATCGCACGGGCGGTCCCAGAAACCAAAAGTGGGATGGCACTGCGATCGGGATTAGTTGGGTCGGGGAAAATAATCGAATTGAATGTATTCAACGTATTCAAAGATAGGCTGCGGCCTCGCGTCAATGGTTTGACATATGAAACCATATGACCACTGACTCACGCCGTGCGTGACTGACAAGAGGTCTACGAACCCCAGCTCAGATAATAAACACCATAAGGCGCCGGATGGTTACCAATCACCAAACAACAGCTTTCCACGCACTTGAACCTCTCTTCGTCCCTTTGCCTCACCTAGGCGCTCACCACGTGGTGTCCAGCTGCACCTCTGCACCGCCTCCCCGGCTCACAAAAACTGACGGCGGCCGGCACCCAGCGACAAACAGCGGTCCCGCGTTGCCGAGCGCCGGTAGTGTGACCTTCGGAGGCGGACCGGGCCGGGGAGCCGGCCGGCCGGCCGCTGCCGCCGTGTGCCGCCCGGCCCACAGACAGGGGCGTAGCAACGGTCATACCGGGGAGGGGAGGGGAGGATGCACGCTGCACGGGCTGTGGCGTCGCGCCGGCGCAGCGGGCTGGGAGGAGACGGTCAGCAGGGGGGGGGGGGGCACCCACGGGTGCTCAGACTGGCTCCAGCGATGATAAAGGATAAACGAGCTCTGACTGAAAAAATGAAGGGTAGAGAGAGCTTACATGCGTAAACAGGTACCTAATAAGACATCGCATTTCAACCATCAGTCGGTAGAGCACCGTCTACCTGCAATTTGGACCAGTTTGGGAAAATCGAAAACGTCTTGAAGTCGACTATAGGTACATACTATGTCCACAAGACTAAATCGGTAACGATGTAAGTACTCGTATGTGGCGTAATCTAGTCTTCATGCGCTGACAACACATTTTACCGAAACTGAGGTCTGACATGCCGGAAGAGCGGCGAACCGTCTTAAAAAGTTACCAGTCGTCAGTGCAGGTATTCTGTGGTCCCAGTTTCGGCACTCACCTCCGAACCGAGCTCCGCCGCCTCTCACTTTTCTCGGCGCCGGGACCTCACCCTCTCACCGTTCTCACCAACCGTCCCCAACTCTACCGCTACCAACCCGCCGACCGTGTATAGTCCGTCGGCCGCCCAACAACACATGCACCCCGCCGCCCAGCGACACACGGGACAGCAGCGCGGCGCTCCGTAACACAGCTGTCGGAGCGGCCGAACTCCCGTGACCCTGGTCTGTCGAGGCTCCTGTTGCGTCACATAAGCTGACCAATACGAGTGGCGGTCTCAAACCGGCGCGCCAATCAGCTCGGCTGATACGCTTACGGTGTTGTGGTCGGTGGAGGTCCCTGAGTGTTGTGAGAGACCAGGGACTGTGAAGAGGGCCATGGAGCCCGGGGCTGTGAAAATTTGGGAAGCAATAAAGATCTATTGAATCGAGGGTGTAGTTCAGAAGAGCCTCAGAAGAGCTATGCAGATACGGGGAAACTGTGGAGGTCCGTAGGACTCCCATTGACTGTCACAGCCCCATGAACCTCCACAGCTCCCATAGGCCTCCTCATCTCACCCACAGCTACCATGGAGGTCCGAAACCGTGGATGCTGAGGTCTGTGGGAGATGTGGGTAAGATATGTGGAGGTCCATGGGGGGTGTGAGGTTACAGCTTTGGTCAATGGTAGCTGTGTGTAAGATGGGGAGGTCTATGGGAGCTGTGGGGGTCCATGACAGCAGCGGATGAGATGAGAGGCCTGGGTAAGCTGGGTGAGAGGTGGAGGTCAATAGCTGTGGGTGAGATGCGGAGCACAGTGGAGGTCCGAAGCAGCTCTAGGTGACATGTTGAGGCCCACAGGAGCTTTGGGTGAGCTGAGAAGGTCCATGGTAGCTGTGGGTGAGATGTCGAGGTCCGGGATAGCTGTAGAGGTCCATGAGAGCTGCGGGTGGCACGTGGAGATCCAAGGAAGTTGTGGGTGGGACATGTCGAGGTCTGGGATAGCTGTGGACAGTGGAGGTCCATGTGAGAGCTGTCTGGGTGGCACGTGGAGGTCCAAGGAAGTTGTGGGTGAGATGTCGAGTAGAGTTGCAAAGTTTCCCTACTGCATTACCGGCATGCCGGTAATTTTTCACTACCGCAGGTTTTTTGTGGTATCTGGCATGTCTTGCCGGTAGCATGCCGGTATTTTTGGTTTTGCACAAAAAAAAATTATTAGCATATGATTCAAACTTTGGACACTAAGAGGAAAATGTGGCATCTCTTGTAGGGGTAAACTGGAATCAACAATGCAGGTTTTTTAGTATGCCGGTAATTTGGTGGTGTTTTTGCTTTGGGCGTGGTAGCATGCCGGTAGGCGGTATCCCCAAAAAAATGTGTGGGGCGGGGCGGTGCCGGTAGCAGCCTTTGGGGGAAACTTTGCATTGCAACTCAAACTCTAATGTCGAGGTCTGAGATACTGCTGTGGAGGTCCATGAGAGCTGTGGGTGGCACGTGGAGGTCCACGGGAGCTGTGATGAACTGCCGATGATCGGAGACGGAAACACGGTCCGAGAATGTAGTCCATGCGGTACCGTACCGGCTCCGCAACACTGGCGGATCCAGACTTGCGTTTTGGGGGGGGGGCAACTCATGCAGGAGCCAAACCTAGGGTACCCCCAAATCCTGTTTTCTCATCGGATTTAGGCCACTTATTTTTCGGCTGACACTATGAATTTTTTTTTAACTAAAAATAAAAATATATAAATGGTAGCCCACCCGACCCATGCCTTTATATTACTTTGTAAACACTTACTATTGCTTTTGTCGACCAGTTAACCCGCTTCGAGTCAGTGCTTGGGTCCCTTTGCGGGCCGGGAGATGGTAAAACGGGAGGTGGTCTAACTCGGCTCCTGGGCCAGGCACTGATTGAACTGTGCTTCATTATCGCTTGGGGGAGGGGGCAAACGGGCCACTTTAGGCCTCTGGGAAGGGGGCATGGCCCTAAATGCCCCCTCCATGGATCCGCCAGTGTAAGAGACCATTGGAGCTGCAGTTGAGTACCTCAGACGTCAGGGTACGTCCTCAGATGTATAGGACTCGCATGGAGACCTCTTATGCTATAGTGGACTGAAAGGACCCAAAGGAGCCTGTCTAGGGCTCCCGGAGATTAGACGTGGGCCCTCAGGAGCCCGCCAGAGCCCCCAATGAGGGATAAGTGAGGGATACCAAGTGCCTGCAATTGCATATTGCATAAGCCATAACGCCATTACAAATCAATATAATATGTACCAGTGGCAGATCCAAGGGGGGCCACATGGGTCATGACCCCCCTTAGTGCCCGGGGGTACCACAGGCCTGTCAGGGGCACCACCGGCCTAGCAGGGGCACTACCAGCCCGCCAGGGGCACCACAGGCCTAACAAGGGCACCACGGGCCTGTGAGGGGCCCACAGGCTAGGCTTGTCAGGGGCACCCCAGGTCTGTCAGGGACACCAGAGACCTGCCAGGGGCGCCGCCGGCCTTGCAGGGGCACCATGGGCCTGTCAGGGGCACCAGAGGCCTAGCAGGTGTACCACAGGCCTTACAGGGGCACCTTGGGCCTGTCAGGGGCACCACAGTCCTGTCAGGGCCCAGGGGCACCAGCGGCCTAGCAGGGGCACCACAGGCCTGCCAGGGGCACCACCGGTCTAGCAGGGGCACCACCGGCCTCGCAGGGGCACCATGGGCCTGTCAGGGGCCCCACCGACCTCGCAGGGGCACCACCGGCCTCGCAGGCATCACGCAGGGGCACCTTGGGCCTGTCGGGGGCATCACGGGCCTGTTGGGGGCACTTTAGGCTTGTCAGGGGCACCACAGTCCTGTCAGGTCCCAGGGGCATCAGCAGCCTAGCAGGGGCACCCTAGGCCCGCCAGAGGCACCACAGGCCTGCCAGGGTCCAGGGGCACCACAGACCTACCAAGGGCACCACGGGTCTGTCAGGGGCACCTCAGGCTCCCTGCCCCCCCCCCCCCCGGATCCGCCAGTGATGCCACACCACGCGAAACACCGCCAACTCCCAGTTACCGCGCCATAAACACGTGCCAACCAGGGCACTAAAGAGTCGGGTACTCCAAAGTTTTTCCTAGTATATACTAGAATCATACTATATCATCTAGAAAAACAACTAGAACTGAGAGGTTACAACTATATACCGAAAATTATCCCAGGATATGGCTGCGCTCAAGCGCGGCGCAGCTGGCGCTCGCGTTTCGATACATTGCGCGTAATATTTATACACAATGCGACCTATGGTTTCGCACGGGGCGTTCATTGGTGTTCTCTCTTCATTTAAAGACTTAAGAATTGTGCTAACTAAGTATCAATAACTATCGTATGCATAAAAATCAGTTCTTCATCATGCATGGAAAAGTCTGAAAGGGTTTTCTGGGCAGTTGTGTGCAAATCTGCAAACTGCTGAGTGCTGGGCTTGAATTTTGATTTGGGTGATGGGCCAGCCTCATGCTTTCTTATTCTCTCACTGTTACATAACAATGTGCTTATAAAAGGTTTGGTGAATTTTATCAAAGGACACCTGAAGACATCTTTCGATTTAACTTGAGCACAGTTAGTATAATTGTATTGCAAGGATTGTTTATGCCAGCTTTATCTTGCTCTACTTGCAATATTTGTGTGTTTTCTTTTCTATTTTGGTCGTTTGTATGCATTTTTAGAGCTCTGACAGGCTGACGAAGGAAGACTGAAGTCTTCCAAAAGCTATTAATACTAAGAAATAAAGCTGGTCTTTTGAACAAACTTAATAATATCTGTCAACAATAACTGTCCCAGATGAATACCTACCATCAACGTGTAACATCATACTTTGTGTAAGCATCTCGTACAACTGTGTTGGTGCGATAATGAAATCAAAACACATGCATTCTATATCCAGTTGAAAGTGGATAGTATGTAAAAAGTAGCATTTGTTGCCACTTGTTAGTGATAATCATGCAACATCTTGTAATTTTAAATTAAGTGAAATAATGTCAAATTTAGTTGATTGAAACTCAACATGGATGATAATTTTTAGGTCAATTTTTAGCTCTCTTACCATTCTTGATATTCCATTTAACACTCACATACCAGTTTAAAAGTTATTTCAGGGCTTTCACAATAGCCATGTCTTTGTGGTCAATCATCCTCAGAGCAGCCTGAATCAATTTCATTCATTACTTCCCTAGCTAAATACCTCTGATCCTTTTTCAGGATAAGACCTGCACCTCGAACCTCGAGTGAATGCTTCCTCAAACAAAGCTAACCAAAGGTGCCATCAGCTGTATAAATCAGAACAGGAAGGAAGCTGAGCTTTCAACATAGGCGCCAGCTTGTGTGAACTTGTGGCTTTGGGTGTGCACCGCCCACCCATTGTTCATTTACGTAAACATCAAAAATGTGTGACCACAAAGGGAAACCCTTATGAAGGTAACATCTCTCGACCTTACAGATTCTAAGATCCCCCTAACATTCAACCACCCAAGATTAACAGGTCACTTAAATAACCATGCATTACTCCTCTGATAATGCTTGTCATGTTTTCAGATAGGTACACGTTCTTTCATCCTGATTTTCTAAACATAAGTACCACCTGAATTTGTTTTTATTGAAGTGTGATTCATGTAATTTCATCTTGATGTGTTCCCAGATGGAAGATCCTGCTCTCAGCTATGCCTCATTGCCTATTATGGCCAAAACTTTTTTGAGAGGGTTACCATAGTGTTCTCCGTCTTATGTGTTAAGGATGAGCTGTAGGTACCTATCTTGTGATCAATGTTTAACTTTAGTGTAACACCGTGACATCTTTCAATGCCAAAGTTTATTTGTAAAAAGCCAAAGTTAATTTGCATTGGAACGAGCGGTAATGTGATGTGTGGAACATGTAATTTGCACGATTGGGAACCACTTACTCTGTAACCCAAAGTGGGATGTTTACATACATGAGAATGTTCAATGTTCATCGTCGATAGATAATAAAAGCATTAGCATACCAGTAGATGGATTGGTCGGTGGTCGTCCAACATAGTATCAGAGCTGCAATTTTGACACCATCGTGTTCGTCATGCTCAGCCACGTCGAATGATATGCTTTTTGTATGGGGGAGGTCAATTTAGGATGTTCCAAGGTCAGGTCAGGTCATGACCTCATGATTAGGTCAAGTTGCACATGATTCAATTCGGCAGGTCTTTCTGAGTCCATTCGTGTCTTTTCCGTCTAAGATCACTGTCAGCGCCAAAACAACCCTTTTTCCCCCTTTGGCTTATAGGTAATGGTCAGATCACCTGACCGACCTGACCTTACGTGACCCTTAGGGGAAATCCGAAGCTAACAACTTTTGAAAATTAGGGAGTTTGATCAGTTCTGCAAGTTTCATCTACCTGTGATAGATCTCCTTGCATTGATGGAGTTACGATGTTGCGACGTCTTCGAGACCGTGCAGAGGTTAACTTATGACGCCATAGGTCAGTGACCTGACCTGACCTGAAAATGATGTTGGTGCCACAAAATCCGGCTTGAATCAAAGGTCAGGTATACCAGCTTACAACTCTCCATCACCAGCGCGCTTACCCCTACTTTGCATTGCAGCCATGGTTTGCCGCACATTTACGATAAAAGTTTTGGTCTGTCCGAGATTCGAACACAGGACCTTCGGATGTGTCAAAAACATGGGGTCATATATGGACGAATATCTCGAAAACGGTTGGATGGGCTTGAACTTTTCGTCCCAAAAATGGAAATAAAAATGTTGTAGCTATCTTTTAACATACCTTATACGTGGCTGCCCACACTACGAGACCTTTAAAACCGAGCGCAAAAAGTCCCATTTTAACACGCAACCCTATGGGCTAGTAGGAAAAGTCACGCCCATGCTGCCATATGACTTTGGAGGGGGCTGGTGCCAACAAGTCTTTTTTGAAGGTCGACTCCACTCGCGCAACTTTTGACTGACCCTCACTGCTACCATATTGCTTCCATATTATGCTGTGGAAAGCTTTACTTCACCAAGTGGCTAAAAACTATAAGTAAAGTAATCTTTGCTAAAAACCTCCATCAAGTATATTTTCTTAGCCAATTTTTCTTACGTTTTGGGGGGGCCAAACAGGCCACTTTAGGCCTTTGGGGGGGGCCATGGCCCCCGTGGCCCCCCCTGGATCCGCCAGTGCTCCGCAATACCATGACTCTGGGCTTTTTGCTTAAGTGCGAAGTTGTTAACAAACCCCAGTAGTCGCGTTTTGTCGGGAAATTATTTGCGGTCTACTAACATTAGGATTAGGTACTGATCACTAATGATAATGTGAAAGGCTAGTTCAGTCTAGCGAATAAAATTTACACTAGAGTTGGTGACGTCATTTGCTTACCGATTTCCTTGACCACCACATTGATTAGTGTGACCTTGCGTATTTTGCGCCGAGTTTGCCGAGCTTGGGTCCGTGTAAAAAATTGTGTATGTTGAATTTTGGCAATTTCTTTTCTTTGTTGCTTTTGCATTGGGAGCACCCATAAATATATGGCGTCTTTATTTTTTCCACATCAAGGATAATTGGTAAGTTGTTTTAGTTTTTCAGATGTATCAACTTGAATTTTGATTTGGACTATTTGGAAATTTAACTATTTCAATTCAATTTTATTGAATTTAAATTCCATCCTTTAAAGCATTAGCAAGTAGGTGCTCAGGATAAAGAAACAGCCACAGTTAGACTATTAAGCATGATATTGGTACTATCAAAAAGCTCAAGATCTTTGATGCCTGGAAGTGGACGTCACACACGTGTGATGTAAAATGTGAACTCAGTTGGGGAAACTACGAGGCAAAGATCCAAAAATTGATGGGTCAATAAATATAATTTTGATGACCATTGATATATGGGCACAAATGCAGCCCTCACTACTACAGAAGAAAAACGGTAATAACATGCCAGTATTTGCGGTATCGCGTCCACTTATCTGAGAGAAAAGGCTTCCGGAGCTAACCCCTGTTAAATGATCTGATGACTGATGAGCAGCATATTATGGTGTCAGTAAAATCAAAAGCATTTTATTTTTGTGTGATGAACTGGAGCTGTATTATTTTCTCTATCAAGTATCTATTTGAATTTCGTTGGCCTATATAACCCATTTAGCTGTATGTAATGCATGAAATGTTGTGAACATGTTTTCAGATTGATGGGTGCTTCTCATATGAAACCATCTACTCAAAGTGAACCCGTCAACCTTCGAGAGCTTGTCAGTGGGCCAAAGCATGTTTCATTTGCTGATGAAACATCCAGTCAAAGCCAGGTATGATTATAATCATGTCTAAGTCTTACACTGTTTTTGCTTACCTTCTTATCATTTTGCCCTTTTTAGAATCAAATGGTATTCATATGTCAACATGCATTTATTATATCTTTCTTTTATCTTCGGTTTTCAATCTTTTGCTGTGATGTGTTGCAAGGTGTTGTGCTGATTTGAGATGTTCTGCAATGAATGTTATTGTTTTTTCTCAGCAGCAGTCATTCCATTTTTTCCTGACAATGATTGCCTGAGTTCAGCTCAGCACTCTTCTGACATTATTTGTGTCTGATTCTAGCTCAGCTGGCACAATGTCAGCGGCCGCCTGTCGGTGCTGGGGGGTCGCCTGTCGCGTCTGTCCAACCTCAGCTGGGGCAGCAGCCGGTCCGGGCCCGCCTCCCCGCGCAGCCCCGTCAGACCGTGGTCGCGGGTGTCGCGGACACGGTACGTCCGCAATTACTGGGATAATGTACCCGAATTGTTTTGGTAGTTTGGTTTACCGTTATCTCAGGCATTACTAGTGTGTTTGGCCTGGCTTTTGTTTCTGTATCGGCTAACGTTTTATGGTTTGGAGGATTATAGATTCTTAGCTTAAAAATTAAAATTTGTTCGCCTGTCACTTCATGATAATTATCCTCCGTGCAAAGTTTCGCCATCTGTCGCGCCTGTTTGTTCTGAGTGTGTGCCCGCTGCCCGCGACAGATGGAGCCAAGCCACGCTGGAGGACCCGCTGGTCGGCTGTAAGACCGCCTGGCCCGTCAGCCTGGTCGAGTCGCTGTTCCTGCCAGACTTTCCCGTCCGGAAACACTGCCACCAGACAATATTCAGCGTAAGTATAAACGATGCTGAGTTTAGAGTTTCTCGTAAAATGATTTCAAATTGAAAGATGGTGACGTCTTTGTCATTGCAAGTTTCCTTTACAAAACGCTTTTATGACGTGCAAACAAGAGGTAGATTTTTTGATAACTGTGCTGTTTTAGTTTGCCACTGGAACCCATTATCCATCTTGTTGCACTTACGATTGAAATATTTATCAACCGTTAAGACGTCTTGCTGTGTGCTTTGCGTCTTCCTTACTGTTTATTGTCTCGTTATGCTCTAACAAAAACGTAGCCTTGCTACATTGTTGATAACCCCGCTTTCGACTTTTCCCTGATGATCTTTGACGTCGCTATGCTTTTGTCACAGGTGGAGAAAACGCTGGGTACTGGGGCATTCGGCAAGGTGTACCAGGTCAAGCACAAAGAATCTGGGGAACTGTTCGCCTTAAAAATCCTATCGAAAGCTCATGTGAGTGGTCGTGTTTTTCTATTGATGGCTGGCCAAATTACTATTCATTTTGTAATTTCCCTCTTGTAATTTGTCTTGGTCCTCTCATTTAGATGCATGCACACTCTCCTTTTTTCACGTCTTATTCGGCCGATAAAACGTTTCGATCGTTAACATACCAAGTCGGTCACGCGTCTCCGGCGCACACCATCGCTACCCTCTGGCCTAATCTGACCTGAGTGTTGTCTGACGTCAGGTGGTACGTGAGGGAGCCGTGGGCCAGGTCAGGGACGAGGTCAGCATCCAGGTGGCCTGCGGACACCACCCCTACATCGTGTCCTGTCCGGACCGCTGGCAGACGCGCAAACAGCTCTACGTCCGTGAGTGAGGCGCAGGGAAGGAACGGGTGGGTGAAATGGTCTTAGGAGTGCTGCGGGGGCGGGACAGGACTGACAGGTCAGATCTCATCCTTGATAATCCTGTGTGTGATAAGAATATAGTGTCTATCTGATTTTGATGAAAAGCTCGAGCTGAACAAGTCATGCTGTGTCGGTATTCAGTCATCGCTTTTCATCGATGTTAGTTATTGTTCAGCACTCGAATACGGCATCACGTTATCCTTTTTGTTTGAAAGTAATGCTATTCAGGCTTTTTATTATCTTTACCTGATTAGTTCACCGGGAATCTAAATACTACCCTCCGGCAAAGTGCACTGACCGTTGACCGCCCCCGTTTCCGTTCAGTTCAGGAGCTGGTGCCGGGAGGCGAGCTGCGCGACCTGTGGCTGCGACACGGCTCCCTGCATGAACAGCTCGTCCAGCTCTACGTGGCCGAAATGGCGATAGCGCTAGGTGATTATGAAGATCATTTTAATTAGTATGAACTTGTAAATATTGAATGACACCGCTAGCAGTGTCACCGCAAGCAGTTTATGTATTCCTCCTTAACATCGCGAGGTCAAATGCGTCCTTATTCTTAGGGTGAATACAGTGGTAGCACTTATTAGTATTATGCATTGCACCAAATTGCACACGGTGCAACGGTGCACCCTAAAGCCCCCCCCCCCCAACATATTTGACTAAAGTTGATGCGGGCATATTTGTTTTCACAGAGTTTCTCCACAATGCTGGTGTGATATTCCGCGATCTGAAGTTGGAAAATGTTCTGCTGGACTCAGAAATGCATGTAAAGCTAATAGATTTCGGTCTGGCGAAGTGGTTACGTTTCGGAAACCGGACCCAGACTCTGTGTGGCACGCTTCAGTATATGGGTGAGTGAAAGAGAGCCTGTCTGTGGTGCTTCGCTGACGTTCTGAGCCTATCGGGTCGCTGTGTGCTTCATAACGTACATAATGTGGTATTTACATACACAGCAACGTTTCTCTTGTGAATGTTGGTATGCTCTTCTTATGTAAAATATACGTACGTCTTACAGCATGCTGGGATACGGTGCAGTGTGAGATATGTTGCTGCCAATATGTGTGCTTAGTGTCTGGGTGCGTCGTTGGTTGTCGGTCACAGTTCCCTGCTCTCTATCCGCCAGCCCCGGAGGTGCTGGAGCCGCAGCCTTACAACCACAGCGTGGACTGGTGGTCGCTCGGGGTCGTGGCCTTTTGTCTGCTCTCCGGAAACGTGAGTCACCGACCGGTATCTCTGCTTGCAATCGGTGTCTTACATGGCCATTAGGGAAACTGGCGGGGAAAAGGCCGTTCACTGCAACTGCCCTAGTTTATAATGTAGCAATCTTGCTCTGGATTTTTTTTTACCGGCTGATTTTCCACAAATCAGTATCACATTTCCAATCGAATTGTCGTGGATCACAATCTTAGTCAGCCTGGCACCTCTCGTTGCTCTCGCAGTACCCGGTGCCTGCCGCCCAAGACCACGTGGAGATGCGTTGTCTGCTGCTGTCCGCCCAGCCGCGGCTGCCCTGTCACGTCAGTGCTCCTGCGCGTGCTCTGGTGGCGCGCCTGCTCACCCCGGAGCCGCGACACCGGCTCAACAGTCTGCTCAAACTGTCCCGCGAGGCGTGGTACGCCAACTTCAATCTAGACGCCGTGAAGGCCAGGGAGGTGAGTTCGGCAGGGGATGTGGCGGGAGGGATTTGACAGCGATAGATAGAGACGCGGAAATCACACAAATGTAAGACTCTGATGCTGACTCAATATATTTTTATGATTTTTTCTTTTAGCATACTTGAAGTAAAGAATGCAATATTTATAATTCGCTATTGAGTTAAGATATACACTTTTATAACTACCATGAAACGCATGCACTTTTCCAGAATTCTGCGTTGAGGCCTGGCAGTGCTTATTTGCTTGTGACGGCATGTAAATTGTCCCCTGGGTTTTATGAATATGGTTATGATGATAATGTCATTCATTCACTTTTACTTGTTGGCATACCTAAGGACACTTGATTTCAGTTTTTGCGCTTATTTACATGCATACCTATGACATTGTTGACGGGTTTGTTCGCGATTTTCGAATCCACTATTCCTTTTCCGAAAAGTGTCGTATTTCCTCGCGCCAGTCGAGAATCCTTTGTCCAGACCAACATTGGAAGGAGACATACTTTGGTAAGCATTCCTATCCTGTTATCCATTTTTTTTTTAAAGTTTATGTTGATGTTTGCAGATTTGACATCTTTATTGGTGTTGTGGTCACTGGTCAGTGGTCAGCTCTACTCTCCTCTTTTTACGTAGTATATCTTGACTCCACAGTAACTGTAGTTTTTACCAAGGCTGATGCATAGATCAACATCAGATATTTTGTTCCTTATTCCTGAAATACATGACCTCCGGTTTCTTGGAAAGTTTCCATTTGCATTAGCCCTTGCACCCCATATTCTTTGACCTATATCCAAGCACTAAGCAGCATGCAGGACGTATATTGTGTGTAGGGTGTCCGTTGTCTATATTGACATGAGACAACAATACGTTGGAATTATGTACAGAAGCCTATGTTCCCAGCTTTCATATACTACTAATGCTCTTGGTGAGCCAAGTGTCATACCTATGGTTGTTATCGTGTCCTTGTTCCTGCACCAGGTGTCGGCTCGGTCCATCTACGACACGTTCTACCCGGCCGGCGCGGACGCCTCTGCCGGCTCCGAGAGCGGCAGGGAGTCCGACTTCATCGACTTCGACGCCACCACGGTCGACGAGTCGCTGGGCAGCTGCGAACTGGTGGACGAGTTCCCCACGCTGGCCGGCTCGCCGCGCCGCCCCGTGCCGGCCGCCGTGGCCGCCAGCACACCGTGCCGGCCCGCCGCCGCCCCGGCGCCGGAGCTCTCCCTCAGCCCGGTGTCGGCCGACTCTGTGGTGGCCTCCAGTGGAGTGTTGTCGCCGCATCGCACCTTCCGACCGCCGGAGAGTCGGGGGCGAGACGTCAGACCGCCGGTGGTAGCAGAGGGGGCGCTGGTCCCGGCGGAGGCGCCCCACACACCGCCGCTGCGGGCCATGCAAGATACGTTCGAGGAGTCCTCTAGCGGCGATATTCTGGAGCTGCGACTGCCGGACGCTCCGTCCGACAGCGCTGAGTGTCAGTGCGACCTGGACGTCCCCGAGCTGTCGCCGCCTGCCGCTGCTCCACCGCCAGCGCCTGTGCTCAACTTTTACGGCTGTCATGAAGCGGGGCTCGGTGAAGGCGGAGAGATGGAGAGGACCGGCGAGGGAGCCCTTTTCGATGCGGGCCCGAGTCAAATCGCGACCTGTGTAGTAACGGAGGACTCTCTAAAGCGGCCAGGCTCGTCCCCCGTCAGTCGGGACGAGTACGACCGCATCTGGAAGCGGCCCCGCACGACGGCCGTGGCGGACAGCTGGGACGATACGGATGTCTCCACGGAGGCTGTGCAGGTTTGAACATTGGGGTTGTTTGTAGCTGCGAGAGGCTAAACGTGAAGGTGTGTACGTTATGCAGAGCAGCGACCCCAGGTCAGTACAAGTAGTGATGGAACGCGGTGTTAAGTATAGTGCAGCTGTAGTACGGGCTGCGGCCGCCAATGATGTTAGATCTGTGTTCCTCGTATATGATAACTGTGATATAATGTAGATCTGCCGGACAACGCGTTCCGTCCAAGATAGATGGACAAAGGCAGGGTGTTACTGGTAGATATTGAGCTACGATGGTCATTTGATTGTATACAGAGTCCGACACGTTCTGCATTGAACACCTCGAACATATCGCTACTTTTCAATGCCACTTATTAAAACTCGCGTTCACATTCCAAGCATTCCTAAGAAATTTAACGTCTGGTGAAATTCTGCCCACTTATCGAACATTCTCTCCTGTTATGCGCTTTGATACAAATGCGTACTTTTCAACCATAATTCTAATCTACTTCCTGCTTGATGTTTATCGATCATGTGTGCAATGGTACAATGCAACGAACAACGCACAAAGTCTTCAGCGAATCAACGAGTGTGTCCTTTTGGTGTATTAAGCCAACAGAGATATGATCACTGTAGGCGTGACACCATGTCACCTGGAAGTCGTAGCGGGAGCCGGGGAAACTTCCTGTTTAGGTAGGTGTTAGTTTGATGTACTGCCACACTTTGGACGTGACATGGCGTTAGTTGAGGCACGGTTGAGGCTTGGGATTTGTGGGTTTGGTTGTGTCTTTGTATGACGAAGACGTCGTCGGGGAAGAGAGTTGGAACACTGAACACTGAATCTGTTTCCATTTTATGCGAAGTAATAATTTATTAAGTGAACTATATTTTACATAGTCTAGGTTCAACTTTACAGAGGCTGATTACATCGTTGTTACGCTTACATGTTAATAACTATGTTCTTTGGGATCATCGGTTAATGCCCATTCGGAGTCTTACCTTGCGAGGCAACAGGCCTCGCTTTACCTCTGGCTCATATGGTATTCATGCAACGATGAAAATACAGCTTTGACATTTGATTTCATCTTTCATTTCAGCCAGTCCGTGTGTACTGGGTACTTCGTACGCAATACATTGTGTCAGGCGATTTATCTTTAGTTCCATAAATGGTGGTCACCGCAAAATGAACGGCTATCATCATTCATCATTTATGTTCTGAAAAAGTAAACCGGATTACAATAAGTCTCGTATAAATATATATATAAAACTTATGTGCGTAGAAAGATCGAAGTTGCGTAATAAAAAAGTCTCAATTCATTCCATTCTTGCTTCAAGAGATCAACATTGAGCGACGCCGGCTGTCTGGCGAACAAACGCCGATGTGAGCGGTCTCTGTTCATCACGCACCGGCGAAGTGTGTCACGGTCCGGCCAGGGGCGGCCGGCACCAGTTTTTATCGCTCAAAAACACCTCCATCACTACCGGCCACCCGTCCCCCTCGCTCAGTTGCATGCTAAAGCCGCCGCTATCCCCTCAGCCATTTGCATATCTGCCTATCGGCCATCTGCGGACGCAGCGTTCTGGCCTTATACGGGATGTTTTTGTGCGGCTCGATCTCTTGTCGCTTCCCTCGTACTGAGACGCTGGCGTGACTTGACTGTCGTGCACGATGGCGTCACCGGAACTAGTTTTGGGTGCCCCGGGTGACTTTGGGCATGTTTCGTTCCGGGACTGTTGACGGCGTGATGTGCTTTCCATCTAACCTTCGGGTGACGTGGTGTCATCATCTGGTCTATCCGGCAATGAGCTGGACTTGAAGGTTAAAAGGTCTTTGTTATCCGTGCCGTTTTTCTTCATACTGTTGATCAGAAAATTGTTATAAGGCATCTGTGAATAAGTAAGGAGTAGGGACTTTCCACCGATAACGTAAACGAGCTTGATTAATATCCTTGCAGAGATCAGGCGCCTTTCGCACCATGCTTTGGCTGGCCGTGACCGGAAAGTCTGACCAGACGCCCAGTGTTTGTTCCAGTGGCCCTGCTCGGACGTTTGCTGTTTGTTCTTAGTTCCCACCACGCTGGAAAGTTGGCTGGTCGGTGATCAGGTCACAATGGGTCTCGTTTCGCCGTCATCACGGCCCTCCCACGGTGTAATTGCCGTCCGGACCGACCGACTGACCGCCGGCCGACTGGGGTTGTCGCCAAGACCGGTGACACTGCACCACACTCCCACCGGGAGTAATGAGGAAACTGTGGCGCTGAATGCCTGAACCGCCCGTCTTTTGGACCATACGGAAAGCAGATGTTTGCTACTTGGTGTGCAGTATTTGGATTGGATTATTGTTCGCCTACGATACTTGGTCCGCCGTCTCTCGAGTAGCATGTCAGACTGGGTGTGCACCGTGCACCGTCCTGTGTGCACTGTGTGGTGTTTGTCTTGGCTTCGCCCTCCAGTCCGTGCTCGATGAAATATGAAGAGACGATGCCAATCATTGCCTAATTTGACAGGCTGAGTAATGGGGAATAGAACCGTTTAATTGAATTTGGGCTGTTTTTGATGCAGTTACAGGTTCTTTATACTGCAGGTGAATTTCAACGACCATATCTCTCCAAGCCTCTTGGTCCGATGTTTGGGTCGGTACCGGTGGACTGACGTGGACCGCGGCGGTTCGGTTCAGTGGCCGGCGGCGCTGCTCGGCTCCGCTTTGGCGCTCCTGGGAATGCTCCGGACCGGCGTCACGGCGGAAATGGCCGACTTCCGGTCACGGTCCGTCGCCGGTCGCTCCGCCGCCGGCGCACGGTCTAAGCCGCCGGAGCGAGCGCGTGACGCCGATCGGTGGGGAGACAAGCTGGCCCTGGAGCCGGTGCCGACCTGGAGTCCGTGCTGACGACGGTCTGTCGCTCCGTGGGGTGGTTGGGCTACAGATATGGCTTGAGCTTGTCGAGAATGCTGAGCCACTCATGCCATGAAAATATATCCTGTATAAGTGTATAAGTGTACTAGGGTTTTCAAAACGTTTCTAGGGAATGATGTGGACTTTTACAAGAACAGCATAGTTGCATAGGCATTAGCCATTGCTCCTCCTTATCATTTTCCTTGTCAAGCGAGCTATCTACTTTCCTTTCCCCGTTTCTGGCTTTGCATTCGCTGTTCGTGGGGAAAGGCTAGATACCCGGGCCCCGGGGACAACCGGACAGGCACTGCAGTGAGCAGTCAGTTGTGCAGCGGATAAAAACCCGTCCTTTCCACCATGCGCTTATTCATTTTCGTTGCATTACGTTGCCACTTATGCATGGGAACTCTAAGCCGTTTAGCCTTTGGCAGGAAATCTGTTCATTTATCACAATGCTGTGCTTACGTGACTATGAATAGGAAGCGCAGCAAGAATGGCAATATTCGAGGAGCAATAAATGTTTGACATTGGCTCATTGGCTCATCATGTGATGACATTCGTGCACTCAAATAACTGGTTTTCATTATTCGAACGTTCATTACTCTGGTTTAAAGACAGGCTTTGTTGCTGTTTTGTATTTCCTCTGATTCAGAGCATTTTATTCAGTTCGTTCCAGTCAGATTGGTCCCCGACTCCATGCAAACGAAAAAGTATAATCTGAGCATTTGTTAGAGACTGCGGAGTTAGACTGAATATCCGACCCGCTTTCTTGCCTCCTGCTCCAGCCATGCTTGTCTTTTCTTTTTCTGTCAAGCGCTTAGTACTCCTCGTCTTCGTCTTCACCCTCAGCCGAGTCGATGCCGACCTCCTCGTAGTCCTTCTCGAGGGCAGCCAGATCCTCGCGGGCCTCGGAGAACTCGCCCTCCTCCATGCCCTCGCCGACGTACCAGTGCACGAAGGCGCGCTTGGCGTACATCAGGTCGAACTTGTGGTCCAGGCGCGCCCAGGCCTCGGCGATGGCGGTGGTGTTGGACAGCATGCAGACAGCGCGCTGCACCTTGGCCAGGTCGCCGCCGGGCACCACGGTCGGCGGCTGGTAGTTGATGCCCACCTTGAAGCCGGTCGGACACCAGTCGACGAACTGGATGCTGCGCTTGGTCTTGATGGTGGCGATGGCGGCGTTGACGTCCTTGGGGACGACGTCTCCGCGGTACAGCATGCAGCAGGCCATGTACTTGCCGTGGCGCGGGTCGCACTTGACCATCTGGTTGGCCGGCTCGAAACAGGCGTTGGTGATCTCAGCAACGGACAGCTGCTCATGCTGAGACTTTTCCGCCGAGATGACGGGAGCGTAGGTGACCAGCGGGAAGTGGATACGCGGGTAGGGCACCAGGTTGGTCTGGAACTCGGTCAGGTCTACGTTCAGGGCGCCGTCGAAGCGCAGCGAGGCCGTGATGGAGGAGACGATCTGGCCGATCATACGGTTCAGGTTGGCGTAGGACGGGCGCTCGATGTCCAGGTTGCGGCGGCAGATGTCGTAGATGGCCTCGTTGTCGACCATGAAGGCGCAGTCCGAGTGCTCCAGGGTGGTGTGGGTGGTCAGGATGGAGTTGTACGGCTCCACCACGGCCGTGGCCACCTGCGGCGCCGGGTAGATGGCGAACTCCAGCTTCGACTTCTTGCCGTAGTCGACGCTGAGACGCTCCATCAGCAGAGAGGTGAAGCCGGAGCCGGTGCCGCCGCCGAACGAGTGGAAGATCAGGAAGCCCTGCAGACCGGTGCACTGGTCGGCCAGCTTCCTGATGCGGTCCAACACCAGGTCGACGATCTCCTTGCCGATGGTGTAGTGGCCGCGGGCGTAGTTGTTGGCGGCATCCTCCTTGCCGGAGATGAGCTGCTCCGGGTGGAAGAGCTGGCGGTAGGCGCCCGTGCGCACCTCGTCCACCACAGACGGCTCCAGGTCGACGAACACGGCGCGCGGCACGTGCTTGCCGGCACCGGTCTCGGCGAAGAAGGTGCTGAAGGAGTCATCGCTGTCTCCCATGGTCTTGTCGGTGGGAACCTTGCCGTCGGGCTGGATGCCGTGCTCGAGGCAGTAGAGCTCCCAGCAGGCGTTGCCCATCTGGACACCGGCCTGGCCGACGTGGACGGAGATGCATTCGCGCTGAAAAAGAGAGAGGGTGGTTTAAACAAGACGTCTCGTCCCCCGAAAATGTCGCACAAATTTCATTTACTACTTACTAGCATGGACTTCACTGATTTTCATGAAAGGATCCAGTGTCAACATTAGACGCTTTGTAGAAAAGGCCGATTCGTCAACGATTAAGCTCTACGGGTTTTCCGAAATGGTGCACGAACAAGGAACAAAGCCGTGAATTTAGCACGGCTTTGTGCACATTCCTTTGAGGTTGAAGTCATGGTATTATGCATCCCGCTTTGTTTGCCACATCTGACAACGAGGTCACTCGTTTCAGGACGTTATTTGTGCAAGTGGAGGGTAAAATGACGTCAGTTTTCATAATGTTCGCGCCAGCTCAGAAGCATCTCTGAATGGGATGAAACGATCGACCAATTCATGGGTTTGTTGACTCAACACATCCCAGTGAGCGTTTAGCTGTCGTTTGCGTCGCGGTGGGCGGAGTGCCAGCCCACAGAAGGGCCGAGTCCGCCGACTCTGCCGCTGCCTGTCGCGGGGTCTCAGGTGTCGCTGCTCTCCCCTTCCCGGCAGCTGTGGTTCCGTGTGGTGGCGCCCCTCTCCGGGCCGTCCCTCCCAGACAGTAGGCGTAGGGTGAGTCATTACCAGGCGACAACGGGCGTGGCGCAGCGATACTGGCGCCGCTGCTGCGACCGGCTGCTACCACGTACCCCAGGGCCGGAAATGGCAAAACTGGGCGAAATGGGAGCTACGGAGCTCAGCGACAGCCTCGTTTAATGGAACGAAGTGACCTCGCTATCACCAGGCGCTGATACCAATGTGTGAGAACCTTACTTGCAACGTGCTGGTACCTAAAAAAGCAAAAAAGCTTTTCTCCATACAAGGCAACGAACGTTGAGCCGGATGGGACCATAGGCTGGTCAGACCAGTGCAGTGCTCAGGCCCGGTATGCACTCGGCGGAGAGTAAAAAGTTCCGGCCGCTCGGGGCTTACATAGAAAGAGAACCGGTTCCGCGGGCCGGAAGTCTTTGTTTCCAACATTCGTCGAGCAGGAGTGATGAATGATGTTGAATTGAAACGGTTAACCCGCGCCCTGCTGGGGGGGGGGGGGTGTTTGAACATCCCCCTTGTGGTTTTTCGCGAATATCTCAAAAACGCGCCGCCGTTTTTGGTACACCTTATCATACATCAATTCTACACATGTTGTGAAAATTTCAGACCAAGGTCATTCAAGGTCAGGTCACCAGGTCACTTGAAGTGACCTCACCTCATAAAAAGTTTCAATGTCTGTCATAGCTACACCGAGTCACCGATCGCTTTGAAACTTTCAGCGATTGGTAAGAGCAATAGCATGTACAAAATGTATATCTCAGAATTTTGCTATCGATGACCTAAGGTCAGGTCAATTTTGCGACCTCCCCATTATAAGTCAATGGGAGAAAATTGAAATGCGCCTCTTTTGGACGAAATACATTATAAACACTCCCAAACACTGAATTACAAGTGGTTTAGACACACTGAACATGAAAATGGTGTCCGTGACCCCTGTTTATGCCCTGAGGTCATCTTAGGTCACGAATGGTATCTAACAGTTTTTCGCAAATAACTTTTGATAGAGGCATGCTAGAGCGATGAAAACGCCTTAGATGTGTTCAGCTCGACGATACGGATCGACTGATATGCAACATGACCCTTTCCGGTCAGGTCATGACCTTGACCTGAGGTCAAATTTTCAAGTTGACCTTTCAAGGTCAAGTTATAGTTCATTCGATGCGTCTTGACCAGAGGAACACGATGCTGGTAAAAGTAAGCTCGTACAAGGCTTGGGTCAAAAGTTATTGCAGAAAAACTGTCCGAAAAAATCGGTTATTTTTGCAGTTTTTGCCCCCTGGAGGCAAAACCGTTGACGTTAGGTCAAATCTGAGAGAATTACTCAGAAAGGGCGTTAATAGGACTATCGAATGCGCTTTTCCGCGGCGCTGTAGCTCTATTGGTTCCCGAGTTATGCGTTGGCTTCTTGGAAATTGTCGACATTCGACCTGGAAATCGGCGAAATTTTGCCTTCAATGACCTCTGGTGACCTGACCTTTGACCTGACCAAAAAATTGACCGAAGTGATTTCCTCATTATTTTTGACGCTCTTTCGAACGCCGCCTTCCGCGTATCGCTACGTGGCCCAGGAGCCGAGTTAGAAGGGGGGGGGGTGTTCAAACACCCCCCCCCAGCAGGGCGTGGAAATCCAGGACCCCCAGCCGGGCGCGGGTTAATATGTTCCTTGTATGGGCCGATGTAAGGGAATGACTATTTCAGTGCGCATAGCTTAGTGGCTCTAGCGGTATTTTCCACCTCGACAGTGCTTATTGGTAATAGCTCAAGTAGTGACGCACTTATAACCCGAGTGACGTAAAGCTGATAGTCACGCCGCTTATAGAATCCCAGTTCACCAAGGCACCGTAGCCACGGTAGGCTATTATTTCAGGGCAATCAACAATTGGTGCTGAGCTTGAGGCGTGCAATCACCGTGCATGCGTCAAAAATTGGCGGCACGAACCGTGCATTAGTTGTAGTTGCTCAGTTATGGGCGGAAAGAGAGCGACGCTCAGGCGTTGCGCGCATACACAAGTGGCATCAATCACCGATTGCTGGGAGACGCGTCGAGTACTTCCTCGGACCTCGCGTGCCCAAAGGACATTTGGAAACGGGCCCTCTTTGTGAGCTACAAGGGCGACAGTAAATAAACGGCATTCGATTAAAGCGGACTAGAGCTCAGTCTACTAACTTGCAGAGCAGACCGCTACGGAATTGTGGTGACGTCTACAAAATTACATGATCTCTTTTCTCACAAGCTTGAGGGTCTTGATCTCGGATGACACTCACCATGATTGCTGTTTGAAGGTCACGAACTGAGGTTCAGATAAACCACCAAAGGCAGTGTTACGAAGCCTTACGGACGGTGTATCTGTTCCTCCAGCAGCGGACAGAGCTGAGTGGAGGGCCGCGTATCGTCAGCGCCCCTTTATCGTCTCGGTGCCTGTCTCTGATTGGTGGAGACGCGTAGGGCGGCGGCCGCCGCCTTCCTCCCCGTCCCCCGCCGCCGCCGCTGCTGCTAACTTGGCATAGGCGGTGCCAGGCGCGACTGGCTGGGGGAATAGGGTGATGGGGATGACCGCAAAATCAAGGTCGTCCATTTCGGTGCTGTGGCTTATTTGATTTGGCGATGCTGTGTCGATAGAGCATGCTGTAGTCTTGTTCGCCTAGCCTTATTAGCCTTATTCGATATTATTAGCCTTATTCATTTTCGGCCTTAGCCTTATTCGATAAAATGACACAATGAGCTGTGGATGTTATGTCTAAAGTCAGCTCGATTCAAACGCCAAGAGACGATGCGAGAACCTGGTAAGGATGAGCCATCGCAGAAAGTTTGCTTCGATCACACTTGTAGCTCTTATCAAAACACTCGAGTAGCAGTTAATGAGTACTTGAAGGAATGTTCATTGTAAACGGAAGCATCTAATATATCAGCGAAACGTTCAGGTCAGAGCGCTCGGAGGCCTTTCCTTACATCTACTGGAGCATGGTATTTGCATTTGCATGCGTCATTCGTGATTGGGGCTATCTACTCTAATGTCTGCATGACATTTTTGGAAGAAATGTGATCGTCAATATTACCTGCTCCAAGCGTATGCGCTTGATCATTGTTAATAAGTCGATTCGAGCTTGTATAGGTCATGGGAACCATAGCTTGTGCTGCCGAAAATGTCAAAAATTGGTCAAGCCATTTTTTGTGGGTGGGTGGGTGGGGGGGGGGGGGGCTTGAGCTGAGAGCTGAGAGGGATTTTATGTGAACGGTGACACCTAATGATCCCCTGAGAATCAAGTATAATTTCTCACTTCCACCGATCAGTGCGTATCTCGCTAAAACTTATGTCCCACCGTCTCACCGTTTACGGACGTATCATTGCACGTTGGTGTTGTTTGCCTTGGGTTGACGATTTGTCCCCTACTCTTTCAAGTTTGACACAGTGCAGTGAGGTGAGCAATTCACAGTGCAGTGAGGTGAATTCCCAGTTAACTACCGACTTAACCCATTACCGCAGTTAAACTGCTTTTGCAGCCGGAGGGACTACCTTCTGCTTTTATATCCGCTTTCTATATGTTCAGTAAGGTCTATGAGTTGGTCACGGCAGAAGTCTCTATTCCGTGGCCTGTCCAGTCTGACATCACTCTCCTATGAACCGTCCCGTTAGGGAGCGAGGTGTCAAGGCGCGTCTGCATGTCTGGCCTTGAGGGCAGCGGCGGTATACCATACATGGACACTGTCGGGGATCTGGCCGAGCACACCGCTGATACTGGGACGGAAGGGGATCCGGGCTTGCACTGGGGGAGGGAAAACTTATTCTGCTCAGTACTGCTTACCTGGCGACGTTCTGGTGACAGAGTGTCACCGTACCGTGACCAGGACCAACATATTTGAGCTGAACAGCGCCCAGGCTAGATCGTATAGTCTACAAATATGTAAGAAAAGCAAGCAGCCTGGGTCCTTTAACCTCCACAATCACATGCGTCAAAAGCTGTCGTTTTGCTCAAAACACATCCTGTCGGGAAATTATACCACTAATGGCTCAGCAGTCAGCAGTCAGCCTCAGACCCGGTATTTAGGACTGTGTGGTTGGTTCAGCCTCCAGCTCAGCGGCTGACTCACGATGCAGGTCTACAGATAACTCAACAGCTGGCTCAGCGGTTAACCCAGTGCCCAGCTCAATGCCCGACTCCAGGCCCTGTTGCCGGACTCAGCGGCTGCCTCGGGCCGCAGCTCAATGCCCGACTCAACGGCCGTCTCGGGCTGCAGCTCAGCGCTGTCTCAGCGGCTGTTTCGGGGCTGTCTCGGTGCCTGCCGCCGTGCCCGGCCCGCCTGCCGTGCTGTGTATGTGGAGCGCCGGCCGGCCGCAGTCACACGCCGAACTGGGTCCGCTGGGTCAGCTGGTGTCGGCTGACTCACACCTCTGTGCACGGTTTCTGTCACGGTGCACAGGGGCGCACTCAGGCGGCGGTCCAAGGTCGGTCCCGCTTCCTGGGACATGAAGGTGACTGTCGGACAGCTATGGGACAAAAAACGTTTCGGCGTGGATTTGGCACTTCCTTGAGACGCGTGGCGCATAAGCCTATACGCTTGGCAGTGTTTATCCTAGTTTACGAACATTTTGGCTCAGGGACACACATTCACTGTAATGTGACTCAGTAAATGCGCCGGTCTCCGGCCGGTGTCAGTTTTGAGCGATGCGGTGTCGTTCGGTGAAAACTCGCGCAGAAGCATTGGCTTAGGTAAGGTAATGGTTGATGCCGGCGCCGGTGCTATGTTCAATGTTGTGGCTGCGCTGCTGGTTCCTGCCTTCATGCGGCTGTCACCAGCAAGCCGATGTTGGGTGTTGCTATGATTGTTATTATTCGGAGCTCAAACGCTTTTGCCATCACTCACGCTAATCGTGTGCTGGATTGATATCGAATGCATTATTCTTTCCTTTAGTTATCAGCCATGCTCTGGAACCATTATCCATTCCACGCCCACGTTTTTACACTGTGATAGGGACCGTCGAGCAGTCTCCAGCGGAGTGCATTGCAGCTCACATTGTCAGTCCAGGCCGACGGGCGTGGCCACTGCCCCGGGCCCAGACTCGAGTCGTCGGTCGGTCTCGGTGTAGGATCTCGCCTACTCTGTCTGACGTCGCAGACGGTGCCGAGTGGCGGCACAAATCACCATCAATTGTTCAGGCTACAGCCGGCGCTGACGTTGTCAACCTGTCAGTCGTCACTCAGCTCCAGAGACGCCCTCTCATTGTGAACGCTCGACAAGTGGTCTGTGTCATCGACTGTTGTTTGAGACTTGGGTTGTCAGCAACGACATGAGGTGTTCGTTGAAGTGCGACGGACGTCACCAAAATAAGGCCATCTTCTCGTTTAAACGATTGTTCCGGGAAAGCACGACAGCGACACGGTGTAGCTGAAAGTCCGAAGCCGTCCTCAGTGTTCAGTCAGTGTTGGCTGTGGTAGATCCGTCTCAAAGCAATCAGACAAGTACGAACTTTCACAAAACACGAATATTGTTTTTATTTGATAACAATGCTAGTCTTTATGTTTCTAGTCCTATCTATCTAGTCTAGTCCTTCTAGTCGATATCCTTTGCGATCTTATAAATGGAACGTTACAGGTTTCTCGGATCTACCGGTTCTTTGTTGAGATCAATTTCTTTGAAATTGTTCTAAAGTATCGGCTTACAGAGCGGGTAACTCTCGCTTGCCTGATGGAATATGGAGAATCTACCCGCTCGCACAGCCAGACCCTGATCCCCGGGCCCGGTCTGCCGCTCCAAACCCTGCACACGTCCACCGGCCCGGCCCGGCCCGGCTGCAGGCCGGTTCCTCTGGCCGTTTTTACCGACGGCCGTGCAGCGGCGGCGGCTGTCGGCCCGTGGTGCGCCCCGGCTGCGCCGTGTCAGCGGAGATCCCCTTCAGCCCGACCTCCTCCCCTCCGACACGCGTCGCACGCAGCGGCGGCGCCGGCTCACGCGTGACTCAGTCGCCGGTCGGCTGAGTCGAGTGTCGACACCGGCGCGGCCCGGCCCACGTGGCTCCGACGGCGGTTCACCGGCCTTCCCCGAATAGCTGGCCAGCCGACGAACCGCGGAAACCAGGTGTGACGGCGGCCGGCCTCGTCGACGCGCCCGACGGGGCACAGAGGCCAGGGCTGGCGCAGCGCCGGCGGCTGACCCGCAGCGGTGGCGACATGATGCGCTCGATTCAGCTAGTCAGTAGTCAGGGACCAGGGTCAACGGTGGTACCCGCAGTAGATGAATTTTCGGGTCCGTGATCTTCTTGCGATACCTTGGATTTGGAGGCTGTGTGGCTTGTGTCCATCACCACCGCGAATACCGTCCTGGATCCGCCGGTGGTGAGTTTGCGCTTGTCACTATCCCACCACTCTCATCCCGTCTTTTATAAGTCGAACGGCTTACGTGCCCCCCATTGGCACCGTCCTGGACCCGCCTCTGAGGCTTGCGTCGCTCACTGCCCCACCACTTCCGTCCTGGATGCGCCACTGACACCGCCGTTCGTCCGCCTCTGACGCACCGCCGCGGGTTCTTGGAGGACTTCGTAATGGTCATTCGCCGAATGTTCCACCGCCGAGCTATCACACTACGGAGATCAGACGCGTCAATGACGTCAACCGGGTCGAAGTCAAACTGTTGATGCTTCATAGTCGAGATGCAAAGCTCGGCAGTCAACACTATACTATAGGTCATAGGTGTCGTGAGATACACAGTTGCGAGTTTTGGTAGATTCGCATTTCGCAAACGGGAAATTCAAGGCTAATGCCTGTTTAAAAAAGGTTCATGGACGGGTTTTGTACTTTGTAGTCCTAGAGGGTTTTGGAAGCCACGTCCTTTTTCATATACTACACCGTTCATGTGGCACATACTTGGTATAGGCCGTGTTTACCGTCTAGTGACTGTGGCGCTACCGATCATTGTTAGCCCCAGCCGTTACCACATTACCGGACACTCCCTGCTACCTGTACCGGCGAACCGTGCAGCCGGGATGCCGCCTGTAACCGTCGGCGTTAGTTCCGGCCAAGCTGCCCATGCAGGCCGACCGGCACAGGAAGCGCTGCTGCTGCCCGGCTATTGATGGTGGGATGTCGGTGCACAGATTGCCCAAGGTGACCTTCACTAACCGTTCTTTTTATAGTTTTCATTGGAATATATGTTTTTTCCAAGTTCCAACTAACGTGCTGGTCCCCACCGGATAGGTGCGTCGTGCCATATACGTGCAGTCGATACTGTGCTACGTGTACCGTCGGTCGGTCGAGCGCATACACGTATGGGGAGATTGCAGGCTGTTCAGTGCTCATAGCATCGGCTGACATGCTGACCTATCCTACCTGTGTTATAGAATGTCGATCCGATCTACATCCACGAGCGCAGTGTTTAGAACAACGTTCAGATCCTCCAGATCATTCAGTTATATCATTCGCTTCGTCGGATCGTTCAGTGAGTTGATAGCCCACTCAAGTGACCTGAAATTACAAATATTGCTTTAAAATGCAATTCAAACTTAAAATTGCCTCTTCACGCCAATCATCGCAAGGCATCACTAGTTTCGTTACGTGAAATGCATCAAGATGTTCACTGGGAAACGACGGTTAAATTCGACGCCGTAACATTTCCCAAAACAGCGCTATGACATGTTCGTGTTGTTCTCTGTCCATTAAAAGAACTGGTTCTGGTTTTGATCATTTAATATCAATTTGTCCAAAAACCGTCAACATTATTGTCAATTGCACCTCGATCCACAACGGCACTCGCCTTACCACGGCAGAAGCAGTGGTTCCACACGGGTCCGCCAGAGGCGCCACCGTATGCGCTGGCTTCTGATGCGGCTCGATCACCGCCACGCCGGTCCCTCTCGAAACACACACACATACAGAAACACTGGCGCTCTGCGCGCCGTTGTACCCCACACGGGGACGGCACGTCCGGCCACACCCGTCACACTGGGCGGGACGGACGGGCCTCACACCACTGCGGACTGCACGCCGCTCCACTGCCTACCGTGGCACACCGCGGCTCGATCACTACCAGCGTCCGGAGCACCGGCTAACGGCAGTCGCAGAAGGCACAGCGGACAGCGACCGGTCACCGGCGGCCGCTAGCCCGAACAGTTGTCCGCGTGATTGTCCCAGGCTTCCACCTGTGAGAAGGGGGAGACACGGTCAGAATTGCGTCAGAAGTCACGACATGGAAGGATAACATGAGTGTGACCACGTACCGAGAAAGGACGGAAGGGCAGGATCTGTCATACACGCTGACACGACCATAAGCCAGTCTTTTCATCTCGACCGGAGGCAAATCGGCTTTATGCCATTACCGAAATCGTATCACGTCAATCGAGGTCGGTAAACCGGTTACAGGTTCCGTTGCTAACAGAGGTGCCGTTTTTCATCTCGGCAAATGCTGCAATTCAGGAAAATCGATTGAGGTTCCGTTGCCACGTATAAATCGTAATATCGCAAAGCATTAACTACAAAATTACTTTAGTAACAGCCTGGTGACTAGGTAGAGGACATATTCTTTCTACAGCACTTTTGGTTCGCCCGTTATCTTTGGAGCTAGTCCAATGTTTCGTTGTTGCCTATGCCTTTGTTGAGAACAAATACTGGAAGAGCAATTCCAATGAAAGATCAATACAACGGGTTTCATCTGAGGTCTAGGGAGAAATGACGCAGGTGGTGGGGTATGGTTTCATCAGACTGTCTCTGGCTGACCTGACTGTCTCTAGAGCAGTACCACTGGTGGAAAGTGGCCGGTGTGTCCATGAAGGGGGCGGTGTAAACTGTAGGCCCTACGGTTTACACCCCTACACTGAGGTAGGGGTGTCTGACGCTTACCTGACAGTCTCTAGAGCAGTACCACCGGTGGAGTAGGTGCAGTCTCTGACGCGGTACCACTGGTGGTTGGTAGGGTAGCTAGGTGGGGTGGGGTGGTAGAATAACTATGTCTCTCACCTGACAGTCCCTGGAGCAGTATCACTGGTGACTGTGGGTGGTATGTGTGTGTGTGTGTGGGGGGGGGGGTAGGCATCTCTTGCCTGAAGACCCTGAGCAGTACTACTGGTGGGATGGGCCTCCTTACTTGAAGTGCCTGAAGCAGTACCGCTGGAGGGATAGGTCTTACCTGACAGTCTCTGGAGCAGTACCATTGGTGGCCGCAGCCGGCGCACACGAACTGCGCCTGCCGGCGGCCGCAGCCCTGGCAGAGCGGCACATCGGTGGCAACGGGAGGAGGAGGCGGCGGCGGCGGCCGCTGGACCACCGGAGCCACCGAGCGCATCTGCAGGGGACCGTTCGCCGGCGGCCGGACCGCAATGTGAGGCTGCTGTGAGGACAGAAACCGCGCGTCAGACAGACAGTGGCGGGCACGAGAAAGGGCGCAATGAAGACAGCGACTGAAAGATGGCAAGTCAAACTGAAATCACTAGCGAATATTGGCAAGATACAATCAGACATCATTCATGAAGGTTACCTAGACAGTTTGAGTGCGAGAAAGGTCGCAATTGACGAGATGAATGATTGACAGAATGCCTTAAACGCTACACCTGAGTAAGTCCCAGAGGTGTGAATACGGCGATCCAGAACGTCTCACTGGACGAAACTAAGTGATCCTGAACACCTTTTTAGCATTGGGAATGTGGTCCAGTCACCGCCGGTTGCAATGAATTATGTTCCTACACCATTGTGCACAAACGTTGTTATAAACAAGTGAACTAGATAACATAATGTTTGACGGACGTGATAACCTAAAATGTTCGTGCATGCAAAACAACAATAAAGTAGACGCAGCGATCCATAAAAAGTTGCCTTTACATATAGATTTCACAGAACCATTACAAACTGTAAACTTACGCTCCGCTCTCTCGGTGAAATCGAAGCTAAAGCAGTGACTAATCTCACCGAAGAGACATCTCGAGATCCGCCGCTCCAGTCACGCGACACGCAAACAGCGGACGTGGATAGATTGGTACGGACGAGGAAGAGGAGTCGGTATCATTTGAACTTGCATCCGGCGAGCGGAAGATGACAGACCACATCCCGGGCCGGCCATCCTCTGTCCGGCGGTTCTGTACCGAGCGAACAAAGCCGGGATCGGACGGGAAGGTACCGACGCCGGGCCCCGGGGTGCAGTGGCGACCCAGCCCCGCAACAGGTCACCCGGTAACTGCATGGTATGGCAAGGAATGACACATCCGATCATTGCTAGTCTGGTTTGGTCAAGCGTAACGCCGTCATTCTCCTACTGCAACTCGTGCTTGTCTCGACCGGTATATCCATTTACCTTTAGCATTTCGAGCAGTGCTGGCTCGATCTTTTTCTTTTCCATCAGTAGTTTGGCGAGGTTGGAGGCGTGCGCAGCGTCGGAGACGGCCGGCTCCACTGGTCCGGCCAGCCGCTGGTTGAGCCGCGCCACCTGCGCCAGGATCTCGCGGTACTGCGGCTCGTTCGCCTCAGAGACTACCGACGGCCGCGGCGGCTGCGAGAGCCTCGCCGTCGAGCTGACAGAGGCGCTGACGAACGGCGGCGGCACGGGTACGGGCCGCAGCGGCCGCGGCAGGCCCACCGAGACGCGCGGCGCGTAGTGGGCCGCCGCTGCCGCCGCCTGGTGGTGCGCCATCCGCTGCTGCTGCTGCAGCCGCTCCTGCTGTTGCCGTTGCTGGTCCTGCTGCTGCTTCAGCGCCCATATGGACGACGAGACCGAGTAGGTGGGCGTGGCGATACCTATGGTCGAGCTGGGGATGAGCGGCGCCGGCGCGGTGGGCGTCAGCGGAGTCGTCGGACTCTGTATGACCGAGGCGGTGATGGCGGCCTCGGCGGCCGGCTGCTGCAGAAGCACCTCGCGTTTCCTGCGCAGCCGCTGGAACGTCTCCTCTTTTGCTCGCCGCAGCCGCAGCAGGTTGTCCCACTCGCGCTCCTTCTGCCGCGCCAGCAGGTCGATGGCCTTCACCTCTCGCCGCAGTTTACGCAGCGACGATTCGATCATCTCGACGGTGCGCTGCGGCACCGGCGCGTCGGCCGGCTGCTCCGAGGAGCTGCGGCGCGGCTGGCGCGGCGCCGGCTCAGCAGAGTTAGCCGCAGCCTCGGCGCTTCGTTTCCGTCCTGCCGGTGAGCCGGCGCTGGCCGCGGAGGAGGCGGGCGAGGCCGGTGGCCGCGACACCAGCGCTGGCGGCGAGGAGACCAGCGCGGGCGGCGCCGCCGGCACGGGGGCCGGTGGTGCCGGCTGGCTGGCAGTCATGGTGACCGGACAGGTCGCCGGCGAGGGCTGGCTGGCGGCCGCCGAGCAGACGGCCGCGGCCGCCGGGTCGGGCGCCGTCGGAGGCGGCGGCGGCGTGGGCCCGCCGTCCTCCGAGGGTGTCCGGCCGGCCGGACTGGCCGCCGGCGCCGCCTCGCTGACCGGGGTCGTCGCCGACGCCGCCACCGTCGATTCCACCACCGGCTGGGACACCCCGTTTTCGACGTGCGTCGTCCCTGGAGATGGCACAACAGGGCAGGTCAGCATCGCGTTACGTGGACGATCGCGCCTCAGTTGTGGCCGCTGGCAACAATCAATGTCGTAGCGCGAGCGACAGTCACCAGGAAGCAACGCAAAGCGCACAGTCCACATCCACGTTGCTGGGCAACGCGTTTGAACGACAAACACGGGGCGTTGCCATGACAGTGTGCTAAAACGCCCCACCAAGTGTTGGTCAATGCAACCGATACAGTCCGATGCATTTGCTAAGCCATATAAACTAAACATTTGAACCATCCCACATGCTAAGCGTCACGCTCCCGCAACTCAAATGTCATAAACACTGCAGTGTAAGCAAGTATAAGTTTTCAGATGCCAGACTCCGGACTTCCAACGGCGACTGACATGAAAATTATGAGTTTCACTATATTTGTATAATTTTAGGCAAGATGAGTTGTAGTGTAGCCCGTTGGATGGCTTAGTAATTTTGCCTTTAAACATCAAGGCTTATAGAAACACATATATGAAAACGTACCGACTGCAAATGATTGGCTGGCTTCTCAGTATCATATCAGGGATGGGGTTCCATATAAAAATTGGATAAGATATATCGTAAAGTGGCACTAGAAAGCCTAGCGTGATCGTGGCATACCTATCACCAACAGGAAATGATCCCACAAACAGCCTTTCGATGCCACATTTGTCACCAATGGCCGTCCATTCTGAACGTACGCTGGGCAATAATTATTCATTAATCCATGAGACATTAGGACGTCAAAGAATCATTAGAAATTGGTCTTGATTAAAAAAAACTTCACTGCCTCAGTTATAACGTGCTTAAAGGCGCGGTGCAGTTCCAAGGTGTGGAAACTTATCATTTACTCAATCATAGGCGGCGGAACGAGGAGGGCACCGGGGCACCGTGCCCCCTTGATTTTTGCATTTTAACATTAGCCCTATGGGCGCTGCATGGAAAGAATGGGACCAAAAGTCGGCAGTGCCCCCCCCCCCCTGCTTGAGGGTGTTCCGCCGCTACTGCGTAGGCTGATGTGTTCACATTAGCGATTGGAAGCCCCTAATTAACTATAACCGGTCACCCATTCAGCCGGTCCCAGGCGGTGTACTGAGTTATGCGCAATCGGTGGTCCACCCGTCCTTGATATGCATGTGTAAGTTCGCCACGTGAGCACAGGGCAGGTAATGTCACGTCAACACGTGAAACACATGGATCATGATGATCCGGGGGTTTAGGGCGCCATGACTGCGGTGGTCGTCGGCGTCCATTGCGGAAGTAACCAGAACATTTTTTGGCACTCCTGATTGCGCGTGACACTTGCCATAGCGGCCACCAAGCTACATGAATTGTGGTTGCATTCGTGGCAAAATGATGGAAGTACGCGACATAAATATTTATCAAACGGTCATGCTTACACAATAATGCACCAAATCACTTCGTTACGTAATTAATGAGATCTAGAAACAATCCATTCAAACGGAAAGCACACTTTATGCTTTTTCGCTTATCATGTCAGAGCATAGTGGTCAGCACCTTCAACACTTTCTCGATATGTGCCACTTTTAGCCCCACGTAGGCACTCCGGCAGGCCCAGAGAAACGCCTGCCGCGCCCAACAGTTGCACATGTCAACCGTGGTGGCGCCAACCGCCTCCTTAATCTTGTTCTTCAGATTCCCTAAACTTCCCGGCACGGCCCCCTCCCCCCCAAAAACGTCAACTCTCTCCGATACGGAAATCCAACGGACAAATGTCTGGGAAATGCGCGGGCCAATCAAAGGGTTTCCTATTGGAGATGAAGAAGCCCTTGAAGTGCTCCGACAGCCACTGCATCGACTAATGAACTGCGAGAAACCAGCCTGGATCCGCACCGGCAGTGGCTTGTGACAGGACGGAGCCGCCTTCCACCAGCTCACCAGTCGATGGAGTGAGTATCGGAGCACCTCGAGGGCCGCCTCACCTCCAAACGGAGAGCCGTCAACCGGCCTGCGCACTCACCAGGCTTTACACCATGAGATTTCCTTATCGAAAAGAGTTGGTGTCATTGGTTTATGGACTCATGCCGGAAAGTCTAGTCGAACTGAAGAACAAGATCAAGGTGGCGATAATGCGGTAGGTAGGTGTTTCTCAGGACCTGCGAGTAGTTGGGGCGAATAATAACACATATTGCAAATACAGCAAGTGCTGTAGATAATGTGTCGGGTACTGACCACTTCAATCTGACGCGGGTAGCAAAAAGGATAAAACGTGCTTCCTTGTAGTCGATTGCGTCGACATATCTTGAGTTGGCCTCAGTAACGTGGCACAGTATTGTGGGAAATACTAGCCTATAAGTCAGAATGGAGAACAATGTCACCAATCAATACAATGGGGTGCATTCTGAATAAATAATATGGATGCTTTGGTAAAAACATGTGGCGCTTATGTGCTCCGTAACACTTGGTGAAACAGGTGGCCTTCCCATCTGATTCAGGTGGCACACCACAATGCACAGGTGGGGGAGCGTAACTGTCCCGAGAGTTAGGTAGAACGGACATTTGTTAGAGACTAGGGAACCTGGGAAAGAGACATCCTAGAGTGACCAAAATAGTTGAACAAATGTCGACGGTGACTCCTAGTTTGACGAAAATGTAGAAACTGTCTACCGCACCGCTGGCTCTACTTATGACTCGGGCGGATTGATTGGAGAGCTTCAATACACTATCGGCTATTGTCAGGGCTATTGAGACCATAGAGTGACCAGAAATCATCCGCGATTACACACAACATCACGGGATATAGCATCATGAACACTGGATTATGTTGCCAAGGTAAATTTTACACCAGCAAATGTCCACCCATTTCTGCTAACTTATACCCGTCTCGCCCCCTTTCCAGCCAACTTCTTTCCGCCGTTTTGAGCCTATAAAGTTATGAGCCCGTGTAACCAGTCGGACCGGCGGCTCCATCGCGCGCGCGGTCCGCACTGACGTCAGTTGCACACATGAACGGCCGCGGCCGGCCACATAAACACAGCTGGCCGGCCGTCGGACAGCGGGCTGCAGCACCGAGCGCCGCTGCACCGCGGTCGGCCGCGCCGCTCCCGCCGCCTGACGCACACATTCGATGAGCGACGAAGGTCAAACACGGCCCCGTGTCGCTGCCGGTGACAGAGCGACGCGCGCGCCCACGTGAGCCACGTGTGCTGGCACCCTTCCTCGGCGGGCTCCGGCCCGGCCCGCGACACACAGCTGCCGCGTGAAAGTCGACTTGCAGAAGATGTGTGTCAGCATGAATACAATGAATGCCAACGCGATGTGAAAGTACAGATGTGTTAGATTCGCGGTAGAAGACTGCATTCCAATCTCAGCAAGAGCCAGCCCACCGACCGGGTTATACCTAACCCGCGCTGCTGCGTGGAAGCCCGCCGGAGAAAAAGCAAGACATCTGCTCTCGCTCACACACGACACCCGGAGAACAGGGTTTGGGCGATGGAGTGAACATATGCCCTGAACCAAGAAACCTGTCAAATTCATACAAAATTAATAGAAAAGCGCCGGAGTCACTTACCGTTCACTGCAGCCGGCGTGTGCTCGGTGAGCGGCGGCGGCGCTCCCAGATCGCCGTTGGCAGTATCGATCTTGTCGGACGGCTCGTCCATGTGCACTGTCTCCGCGTGGCCCTTGGGTTTGGCCTCGACGGCGGCGGCCGCGTCGCCCGTGCCGGCAGTCATAGCTCTCGCGCCTGCAACACGTCACCCGTCACGTCACGTCTGTCGCGCGGCGCAGCTGCCGACTCCCAGCGAATCAGGTGGCCGGTTCGCGCGCGCCGCCACCGCGCGCCGCCAGTGCCACCGTCGAGCGGTCCACTGACAATGTGCCGAGCGGCGAGCGGCGAGCGGCACTGCGGAGCGGGCGCGGGCCATGCGCCGCCGGGTGGGCGGGGCGTGCACGAGCCGACCGTCGGCGCCACGGCTGATACGACCGGCCGCTGGTGAGGCAGGCTGGAGGTCGCCGTGGGTGGAAATGCCACCGGGAATGTTGAAAGAAACGAGAATTCACCAGTGTCTGATAATATGAATGTTTGAATTTAACAAAGGTCACGGTGGGTAACCGTATTTGCATCCACAACAACAGACGAAATTCTCTTCTCACCCAAGAAGGCTATTATTGAACCCTGCTGGAACTCAGCAGTTTAAAGTTCCTGAAGTCGGATGCAACCAATATCAATTCTTTGTCCGTGGCAAACAAATCCCCAGTGGCAAGTCTATGGGCACCAATTTATTATTTATGAAACCAAACCAAATTATTAACTATGAAAACCAAGTGCGCTTTCAATTCATGACTCCCACTTAGTATTTACGCTAATGCACGCTTCACAAATTTGACAAAATGTTTTGCCAACAAGATACGAGGATAAAAACAAGTCACCATGAGGGATTGGTAAAACAATTTGTTCCTTTTGCATAAGAGAACTCGCTCTTTGGAAACTCGCTCTTTTGAACAGAACATGATACAACTGAAGGCTGTTTGGGTTTGCACGCCGTCTATACGACGATGGGCTGAGCTGTGCCATGCCGACGTGGCTTTGCTTTGGTTAATCGGTCACCAAGCAGCGCGGTCCGCCCCGTCAGGTGTTGTGGGGCGCTGTGAGTGGTGTCACCGAGGACGAGCGGTGGGGTCGCCGCCGTCTCGGCGCTCGCCCCCATCGCCGGTCGATGCTCCGTGCACATCGCGGCTCGGGCCGGCACTTTTGACAGCGACGATCGTTAACTAAGTCGCCCAAGTCCGGCGGCGTGTCAACGGGTCAAAACAAAGGCAGACCTCGTCACCTCTGAAAGTGACACCTGTGAGGTGAATAGAATGGACAATGACCAGGTACACCACTGGGTGGGCACTGGGCACCGCCTACCACCCACCGGACTCATGAAGAGGCGTTTTGTGACAGCAAAACTTACTCCATTATCAATAACTACGGCACGCTGGGTTGACGCAGTGACAAATGAAAAACAAAACAACTGCGACCCGTCCTGACAAAGTGCCACCGACATGCCTCATCCTAACGTGGCGGCGACCCTCAGTCATCCACTGAACCAATCGGACTAGCTTGATCCATTAAAAAATAAACACACGCCCAAGCGATCATAGCAGTATGACATCTTTGCAGGCTACAAGTGATGCAGCATGCGCATTGCGCATTTATTCGCTACGCAATGGAGCCTTCATTTCTCGTGCAGAGAAGGGACTCAAGGTCATCGGATCATCATTGTGGGCAGACACGATCCGTCTCCAGAGACTGGTCAGGGGCAGAAGTGTCGAATCCATAAAACAGTTGCGAAATACAGCACACCCGTACTGCAGAATATGCAGAACATGCAGGTGACGCTGCGACTGCTCTGATCGCGCATAATTTAAATATTACTGGGTCACGAATCTTCAGCGGCCAACACCCCTCCATGGCCATTAGTAGTAAAGCTGGGCAGCATTGCTTCATGATATGCGTACAACTTCAATGTACTGAAGCGAGGTCATTCTACGAAGCCGATATGAGTAAATCAGTAGAGATTTGGACAAAGGCATCGTCCTCCTTCGCGAAGGGAGCTCGAATATTCGTATAAGCGCTTGCACCAATCGGTATGGTTTATTCATTATGCATATCAGTAGGCGGAACTATGGTCAAGCGTACCCATTTTCGGGAACGCATTTTCGTTCCCATGTTTGGGAACGATAAACCCAAATATGGGAACGCCATGTAGCCATTATTTAAAACGAGAAAAAGAACCGTTAAATGACGTCCAAAAAATATAAAACGATCGTGAACCGCCTGATATTTGTCTCAATATTGTTGGGAAAGAGTTTGATATTGTAAGGCCCATCGTAGTTTCAAATTGTTCCCCTATTTCTAAAGCAGTCCATCATCCGGGCCGCGAGCCCAAATTTGGGAACGCTCTCGTACACTGGCGCTGCAAGCGTTCCTTATTATGGGAAGTGGGAACGGCGTACCCAAAATTGGGAACGATTTCACCGACGCCTTTCAGGGGCCCTTTTCATTAACAAGCATCACGTCCAACGCCGCAAATTATTGTTAACGCAACAATCATCAGATGACCTTTCCGGCAAGACCGTCGCATGTTTCGCCCGGTCTTCTGCGCTTTTATTTCCGTCGATCTCACAGCGGGCACGCCCCCTCTGCAGGATTACGTAATTCACAACGCTCAGCGATGTTCAACAAGGTCTTCCATACCTATATCCACCGTCCGCGCCGAGGGTGGAGACATGTCAAGCACCTGTCTGTTTATCACCGATAGTTGACGAGCACAAGGAAGTATCCAAAAATGGGAACGCTGAATATGTTACACCTCAAAACACATAGTTCCAATGAAAATCTAGTTTTTTCCTTTCACAATGAGTGTAAGTGGCAAAAGGCCTGGTAGGATGGGCACGAGGAATGAACGAAATCAGCATAAAAATTATAAATAAGCCACACAGAGCGACCTATATAAGAGAAATTCCCCCAAAACGATCATGCTTAGAAACACGGAAGACAAAAACCACGCTCATGACGCTCCTTATAAAACAACGCTAAACAGCTAGCATCCAAATAAAATATGTCTTTCCGGGATGATAAAATACAGCTGAATAATTTTCAACCACTCAAACTGAGTTTACAACAGTAGTTCGGTAAAATCACTGACGTTCCACGCGGTCGTGCGCCCCGACACCAAATGTCAACAATATTACCCCGGGACTGTCCGCGTGTTCGCTTGCATATGTCAGCATCTGGTGTCGCTAGTATGAAACTTCATAACCAGGCGAAAATTATTATACTTGACCTCAATATGTAAAAAAAACGCTTCATTTTCCTTAAAATTGCAAGTTAAATGTAGTATAACCCATGTTTTCACCATTCCGTCATTTCAAAAAATCATTAAAAATATCATTCGACGGTCAATTTCCTTGTTCAACGGTCAGATTAAAGATAATTTTATAGAGACTTAGTAGATACTTAAATTAGCGTGCACTTTTTTGAGACGTGATGCACTAATGAGTTTTAGTGGGCGAACGGCCGAAAAATTACCTTCCGTTCTCATAAATGGGAACGCCCGTTCCCATATTTGGGAACTCCGTTCCCAAAAATGGGAACGTTCCTATATTTGGGTACTCATGACCATAGTTCCACCTACTGATATGGATTAGAGCTCGGTGCATTTCTATTTTTTATTATTTTTTTTTTTTGCCCATAAAAGCAATCTACCATGAAATGGTGTACCCCTATTCTACTTGAGACTTGGATATCATTACCGTAACATCAGCTTAAGTTAAAACGTCGCGCTGTCCATCATACATTAGGTTGTATGGAATACCAAACTGTGGTTGTGAGAAATATTGAGCCTGCATTGGTTATCTCGTTTAACTTAAGAGCAGTTGCACTTCTTCAGTGCTATGCATTATCAGCCTTCCCAGTTTCTATGACAGTCAGACAACACACCGTCTATAGCTGGCCTTGTCAGATTGTTTGCGTAGCGTAACCATATGAAGTGGGGCGTCAATCTTGTCGGCACAAACCAAAGGTCAAGGGGCCATCACTATCATAATTGGCTATCACTATACTGCCTTCGAAGCGAGTACGTTTTCCTGCCGCATCGGTCACCGAAAATCGTGCTGCGGCACCTGGCTGCACCATTCCACCGTCCTATTATATTGCTGCGTTTTGCTGCTAGATTGACAATATCGACACGGAACCGCTGCTCAGCTCTGTGAGCAGTACAGATTGCTCCCGAAATAACGACAATGACTTGTAGATTATGTAGTTCCCGCTGTGCGGAGGCGCGTCCGGTGCACGGCGCGCGTGCGAGTTATAGCGTGCGGCTGGGATTTGTTTGTAGAAAATGTATCAGGGGGGCAGTCGGCGAGAGTGAGCGGGGAAGGGAGCGGCGCGTGGCGGCCGCCGAGCGTTGTTTTCGCAAAGTCGGTTTATTTTCTGTGCGAGTTTAAATACAAGCTATTTCGGCTCTCGGGGGCGTGACGGTGCTGTCCCCCTCTGTGGTGCGGTTCTGTGGAGCAGTGTGTCGTGCGCCGCCAGACATTGAGACGCCGGACTTCCGGGTGCAGTTCAACGCGGCTGACCGGAAGTGGTCGGTTGCATGGAAATGGTCCGATGGGATAGGACCCCAGTGCCTCACGAACGCTGTGCCGCAGTATGCTGTGCCGCCCGCCGCTCGCCACGAGTTCGAGGCGGAACTTGACGACTGGATAGAGCGGGAGTGGCTCGTGCCGTATGACGAGCGGCGGCAGGGGCCGCCGAAAGGGTTGGTGCCGCTAATGGCTGTGGAGCAGCGCAATCGGGGGAAAGTTCGACCGGTGCTGGACTACCGAGAACTGAATGACTTTGTGCAGGCTCACACAGCTGACAGCGACGTGTGCGCGGAACAGCTCCGCAAGTGGCGCCAGCACGGCGCAAATGTGGCGGTCGTGGACCTGAAGCGTGCCTACCTCCAGCTGCACCTGGAGGAGCGACTCTGGCCGTTTCAGACGGTGATGGTGCGGGGGCAGCGATTCTGTTTGACCCGCCTAGGTTTTGGTTTGAATATCGCGCCCCTCGTGATGAAGGCTGTCGTGCGTGCTGTGCTCGATCAGGACCCCGACATCGGGCGTGCCGTCCTCCCATATGTGGACGACCTCCTTGTAAATGAGGACATAGTCAGTGCCGAGCGCGTGGTGGCGCATTTCGCGCAGTTTGGGCTG